TTTCGGACTGTAAGGTGCACTTAAGGTCCTTTCATTTTCTCAAAAATTGACAGTGCGCCTTATAAACTGGTGCACCTTATGTATTAACTCTGGTTGTGTTTACTGACCTTGAACTGATTTTATGTGGTACACGGCGCTCAAAATCTGTCAAAATGTTTTAGTATGACTCGGAGCATAGTCAGGAGCGTCATATACTAATTGAGGGCGGAGTAGAGGGCGAAGTATCGTTCTGAGTCGACTCAACGCACACTGCCCTGTCGAAAGAATACATATTCCACTAAGTCGTGTCCTTTAGTCAAACAGAAGCTGAACCGCATCAGCGCACAAGGAGTGAGCTGTTTTTTCCGCACTTGTGGTCTTAAGTTTTGTTTGTGTAAAACATAAACAAATGTGCGCAAAGCTGCATTAGACACATTATTACTCAATGTATATTTGAGTCCTCCTCGTAAGAAATAAAAAAACAAACCCACATTCACATTCATAATACACATTCACCAAGACAGGGAGGCAACACCGAGCGAGTTACGCCACGATCTGCCGATGGATTGTGGACGCCTGGGCTAAGGGATCAGTCTCAAGTGTAGTCCGTTTGTTTTGCTTAATGCACCGTATAATCCAGCGCACCTTATGTTTGAAAATAGACGAGAGAATTTAACATTATTGATATTGCGCCTTAAAATCCGGTGTGCCTTTATAGTCCAAAAAATACGATATATGAGCACATAGACTAGTATACGCCCATGGACCTACCTGGACCACTGAGGGATTACACAGATATAACGCCACATGGTTATATAAAAGAAAGTACAATATTTTAATGTTGAAAATCGCATTCTATTGTCTAAAGAAATTTTCGGTCTAAATCTAAAGGATTTTCGGTAGTGAGGAGTGCAAAAATATTGAAATATCTATCTATCATATCATTTAATGTGATGATCGTGTCGATATCGTGGGCTGCTGTATCGATATATCGCCAAGAGTATTTTTTGGTATATTTTACAAAATTATTTTGTTACAAAGCGACAGTTTTGTTGTTTGTTTAGTGGAAGGAAACTCGTTCATGCGACACGTTTGACATTTTCACTGTTTTTGATGATTAAAAAGGCGTTTTTCATATTCACTTTGCACAAGAAGTGGTTTAACAAAGATTTTTAGTATCACAGCCACGATTAAGCCTTTATTTTTTATTGAACTGTATCGAATCGAATCAAAAACACACTGTATCGAGGTATGCATCGTATCGGCACCTTCTGAAGCCTCAGTACCTCTAAATTGAGTTTGAAATTGTAGTATCGTGACAACACTACTCTCTACATTGTTCCTTAAATTTGCCTTGCTTGGTCCCGATGTGGCCCGCTCCCCAACAGCTGGAAACCCGTACGTTAAATTACAGTATTCGCGTTTCGGCCGTTCCCAACGAAACTCCTCCGTCATCTGAATACATGACCTTTATTTCTCTCATTTACAAAGACATCAAGTGGCTTACATAACACACTTTCAGCTCATGAATACTAAACACAAGCTGAAAACATCCAAATAAGTGGTTCTCAAACTGTGGTGCAGCGACCCCCACCATCTGGTAACATGTAGGATAGTCTTAAGTCCGGGTTTAGTCCTGGTCTGAATCTGGTTTAGTCCTTGTTTAGCTCTGAGTTAGACTTGGTTTCGTTCTATGTTGTAATTCTGAACTTGCTTGAGTCACAGTGGTTTAAACGGTAGAGAAGCCGTCTAACCACGAGGTCGTCTCTCTAGTTCTTCTTGCTCATTGTGTCCTTGAGCAAGACACTTCACCTTAGTAATGGTTATGAGGTTGGAGATTGTCAAAGAAACACTCATGTCTTTGTCCGTTTAGATCTGATTTTGTCCTGTAATTATTCTGGTTTGTTGGTTTATTTCTTATTGGTCATTGTTCAGTGTGATTTCTAGTCCTGATTTAGACTTGGTTTAATTCTCGATTGGTCCTGGATTTTGATAAATCCTAGTTTAGGCCTAGTTTAATCGTGGCTACTTTTAGGGATGTCAATAAATTCTTTCCAGTATTGGTATCGGCCGATATTGATCCATTTTGACGAAACTGGTAAAGTGAAAAGTTCATGTGTGATCTTTACTTCAACTTAGGAAAATATTGTGGACCTTTGTGTGGATTTTAAAAGTACGGTTTTCATTATCGGCCACAGCAACAGGCCAAATATTTGATATTGTCGGTAACAGTTCAAAAAAATTAAATCATCCCATCCCTACTCTTCTTAAAAATTAGTAAAACTGGGTGAAAATAATAAAGTATAATGTGAATTTTTTGCCTGTTTTGATTCTTGATTTTCAATTATTTTCCCCTCTTTACAAGCAAACGTGTCAATCAGTATTAATTTCCTGAAAATAAACACAAACTTTTAATCGTAGCCAACACAAAAATCAAAATTCTTCCCTTAAAATCAGAATTTAAATCTTAAATCACTTACTTTTACTTACACTTACCGCTGCTTTTAAAGAAAAAATCCAAGCTGATCGTTGATAATTTGAAGCGACTGAATCTAAATCAAATTTTTGTTGAATCCACCATTATTACTCTAAATGTATTTAACATGCTGGCTCGGTTTTAGTGGAAAAGCTCTGTTCTTTGGTTGGACAGACCTGCTCCTCTGTTCTGGCCCCCGGGGTTCTAACTCCAGATGAATTTGTGAGCTTTTAACTAGGACACTGCCTGGACTCATTTAGCTCCTGCACGCCCCACTAAAGACACAGCAAAAGCCAGCACTGACGCCAACCTACAGAGCTTTTACATTAGGACGGGTCATAAATAATACAGCGGATTACAGACAGGCCACAAGCAGGAAAACAGCTTGTATTTAGATGTTTCTTATGCAACATTATGCAATTCTGAGGAGCAATTCCATGGATTCATTATGCAAGCTCAAAGTGGTGCGTGTTTTATTTAGGACATGTTACGCAAAATTGACTCTTGGAGCATTAGTCATCTTAACATTCCCTCATCAAAAACATAACCTGGAGTTGTGTTTTGCGTCATTGATTGTTGTAGAGCCTCAGAAGTCAAGCTTGTTTCAAATTTCCCTGGATTGTTATGTCACAGGTAGAAATCATCATTCGTAATCATCATTTTAGCATTTATTTCTTCCATTTATGTCTCATTCTCACTGTTTCTAGCCGATGCCATGCTAAAAACAAATAAACCGTAAAATAATTGCAACTGACTACAGGAATAAACTAAGGCCAGGGCTGCTCGATTATGGAAAAAAATCATTATCTCGATTATTTTGGTCAATATTGAAATCAGTTATCCAAATGATTATTTTTTACATGCATTTATTTATTCAGCATTTCTCTCTAAAAAAACACTTTGTTATTGATAATTTATGCAAAATTTTAAAATTGAAAATAAATATAGGCTGCAAATATGAACCTTAGATCAGTTTTGTGATGTATAAAACATAAAATGAATAAAATATAGTTTGAACATGAAATGACGCATAGAAAAACATAAATGTATCCAAAATAAACTATATATAAATCTGTTCTACAATCTATATATTAAAATAAATAAATAAATATTCTTATTTATATAAAAAAAAAAAATCCAAAAATAAACTTTTAAGCTTTAATCGTTTCAACTCGATTACATGAGTTTGGAGATCGTTTGACACACAAATCGAAATCGTTATCAAAATTCAGTCAGTTTCAAAGCCTTAACTAAGGTTGTATAATTAATTTACTTTAAACTGAATTTAAATTTAGTTGTTTCAAATTGCCATTGATCAGCTTGGGTTTTTTTAATCGAGATATTTACAGCCAATCCTTTGATAGTAGAAACATGGATAAGAGTTGAGTTTGTTTGTGTTGATAACAATGAAATGGAATCTAAAATTGCAATTAATCAATATTAAATAACAAAAATTATTTCCTTTTGCCATATAGTTAAACACTATAGGCGAGTTTCAGCTGACGTCATTGTTATTAAAAGCCCGCGTTGCATGCTGGGAAATATATTGGTCGGAGGCAAGAAACACGATAGCGTCAAACACAGTGCGTAACCTCGCGTATTTATCCCTGATAATGGTAAATTCCTGCTGCATTATCGGATGCACAAATAGAAGCACGGAAGAAGGAAAATGTCTTTTTCGTATTCCGAGTGAAAAGAACCGCTAACGGTGAATTAAATGGCTTTCAAACATTCGCAGAGCAAACGTAGAAGATCCTAGCAAACCGTGGACTCCAACAAGTTCAACAACACATCGAGACTCTTGGAGGCTTTCATCTTTTCTGCTGTGAATGGCCCAGGAGTTTCCACTAAGAAATTGTGGATATCGCCGAAGTAAATATTTGTCCAGGTAGTTGGCGATTCCGACCAGAAATTTGGTTTGGTCCACCTTTTGTCGGGTTTGAAAAGGGTGATTTGGCTCCATCGATGCTTATGACCAATTTCTGGTCAAATGGTCTTGGGTCCTCTGCCGTTAGAGTGGATAAATAACCGGGATCAATACCCTTTACATGCTTTCTCGCTCTGTCCTTCATGTTGAATTAGTGTTTATTGCCGCCGACCAAAATAATTCCCAGCATGCAACGCGCGCTTTTGTCAACAATGAAACTCGCCTATTGCGTATTATGTGCGAGTTGGTTTGAGCGTACACGAGCGGAGCATTCGCAAGTCGATAATCTAAGCGACAGGCCACATTGTTTTGCATTAGTTTGACTTCAAGAGCTGATTATATAATATGTCTAAGTCTGTTATCTGCATCTAATTAGAAACTGTTTTAATGTGCAGTAGTCAGGAAGTGTGTGTTACCTTGCTGGTTGTTGTTCATTTTACCATCACAGCACAACTCCCTTCTATTGTGGAAATTAAACCCATCTTGGTGAGGAATGACTCTGTACCATGGCAAAGCGTTTTAAAATGAACTAGTTTCTGTTTTTCACGGTTTCAAATCTGCCATTGTGATGTCTCGGTTGGTCCTTATAACGAATTTTCCCCATTTCCTCCCTCACAGCGGCGAGATGGATAAGAGCGACCTGGTTCAGAAGGCCAAGCTGGCGGAGCAGGCCGAGCGCTACGACGACATGGCGGCGGCGATGAAGGCCGTGACCGAACAGAACTGTGAGCTGAGCAACGAGGAGCGCAACCTGCTGTCTGTCGCCTACAAGAACGTGGTACGTATTGGCCCAGCGGACACGGGGGACAGGGGCGGGGACAGGGGCAGGTCTGGGTCAAAACTTACAGACGTTTCTTTTAATTTAGACCTGGTAGTCAAATCAATCAACGACCAAGGGTTAAAGGTGCATTGAGGAACTTTTCTGGTTAGGGATCGGTCAATTGCTTGTCTCGAAGAACATTTATAGATGGAAATTAGAAATATTTAAATGCCTACATCCTCGTTTTGCGGTGTGAAAATGACACACCCGACCTTTAATACCATACTGAGGAACAGTAAGTCCAAGTCGTCTGCTTTGAGCTTCGTCATTTCAAGTCTTTAAACCAAAGGACCAAATATAGCTTAGATGATTTTTAGGATAAATTGTACTTTAAAAATCATAGTATATTTAGAGAACTTATTATAGATGTAACAATAACCAAAATATCGTGATATCGTATCGTCAAAGTTCTCAAAATAATGTCGTGGACCATCACAATATATTGAATTACAAGTCTCTTTGCTTAAATTAAGGGTTATGGTGCAGCAATAGCTAAAAAAAAACAAACAAAAAAAAACAGAGGGAACTACATAGACCATGAACCTTTGCTCCATTTCAGTGCAGACTACATGAAGAAATAACAGTTCTAAACACTTTTAAGTCTTAGTTCTTTTGGATTAAGTCTTGTCAAGAGGAAAAAGTAGCATATTAACAGTTTTGTTGCCTCCACAAAATATAGATTTAGATATTGTTACATCCCTAATCGTGAGCCTCCCCACCATATCGTGAGCTTTCCCATGATATCGCAATAAATATCGTATCATGAAGTTCATACCGTAACAGTATCGTATCGTGACACTTGGATATTGTTACACCCCTAATATTTATAGAAATACGAGTTGTAGGAATGGAAATGTTTCCTTTTTAAATGTCTTGACAACATCTTTCTGTGAATCATTGCAATAAGAATAGAAAGAATTCAAATTTAAAAGAGCTTCTCAAGTCACAGGCCTCAAGTCCGAGTTAAGTCCTAAGTCACTGACCTTCAAGTCCAAGTCGAGTCCCAAGTCTTTATCCATTTTTGTCCATTTTATCAAGTCAGGTCCTAAAAATAGTGACTCAAGTCTGACTCGAGTCCATGTCACGACTTGCATGGCAGACCCTCCACCAGAAAAGCTCCACACTGCACCTTTAGTAATCATTTTAATATTCTTATTCTGTCTGTGAAATGAATCAGTGATTGAATTGTAGAGAGTCCAAACAAACTTTCAAATGCGGCATAAAATGACTTGTATAGAGGGACTTAAATTATTTATGTTTATTTCCATTATATTGCACAAAAATGTAATGGTTTGGATGGTGCATTTGAATTTATTTTCCCATTATCTGATGAGCAGATGGAGAGAGGCTGTCCCTAAAGTATGTCCCGTAAGTGTAAAACGTGCACTGCTCTTTGTCTGTGGCGCTGGTGGTGACGGGATGGTGCTGTTCACACGTGGGGTTGTAAATGCAGGACTAAACGGAGATTTTGTCCATTTTTTTTTTTATTTTTTTATGTATAAAGGTATTTGTTTGGGTGGTGTCTACTTTAGGGACTCTTTCTCACTGAGGAAAACACGAGCACAATTCTGGTTTGAGTTCAATTCGAGTTGAAAAATGTACTTTGGGGAAAATGTCTCACTCTGTCATTAAATGTGGGTTCATGGGAGAGGTTTTGTCAAGTATGATCTGCCTTCTGGTAAGTCAAATTGTTAAAAAAAAAAAAAAGCTAGCCTGTTGAAAATAGACCTGCGCTTGTCTGAAAGTATTCAATATTTTAAAGGTGCATTGCGCAACTTTTCCAGCAGGGGTTCCACCACCTGCTTTTCTCCAAGGAGATGTTATTGTTTTGCCTGGAATGTTCCCTGGTATGACATTAAACACGTCAATCTAACATTTACTCATTATTACAGGTGTTTCTATTGCTTAAAAATACAATAATTCACACTAGGGCTGGGTATCATTAAGAAGTTGCCGATACGATACATATCTCGATACAGTGCACTTTCGATTTGATACGATATATTTCAAATCGATTCGATACAGTTAAATAAAAACAAATGCTAAATCATGGCTGTGATACTAAAAGTCTTTGTTAAACCACTTCTTGTGCAAAGTGAATCTGAAAAACACCCATTTTAATCATTTAAAACACCAAAAATGTCAAAGGTGTCGCATAAACGAGTTTCCTTCCTCTGAACAAGCAACAAAACTGTAGCGCTCTAACAAAATAATTAAGTAAAGAATACCTGCTCGAGTGTCCCCCTGGCTTGAAAGTCCCAGCTCGAGCGTCCTATTCTGTTGGCAGGAAAGTTCCCCTCCTTCCTCCGGGCGCCCCCTTCTCTTAGGTGGGTAACTGCTGAGCCCGGGAGTGGGGGGACGTTCTCGCTGCATCATGCACTGTGATGTATTGAATTAGAAAATCAGCATTCTATATCAGAATAAAATGAAATGTAAATGTAGCGAGACCAAGTGTCGGGCCTTGTTTATGCCATTTTACCGATCTTCCCGAAGAGGCACACATTTTTTCAGTATCTAATATCAATATAATCCTCATTTGCTCGCAGACGTTTACTATGAAATCATATTTTTTTTTTTCTTGTTCCCCATGTCCTATAGGCGAGTTTCATTGTTGACAAAAGCGCGCGTTGCATGCTGGGAATTATTTTGGTCGGCGGCAATAAACACTAATTCAACATGACGAACGGAGCAAGAAAACACGTAAAGGGTATTGATGCCGGTTATTTATCCACTCTAACGGCAGAGGACCCAAGACAATTTGACCAGAAATTGGTCATAAGCATCGATGGACGCCAAATCACCCTTTTCAACCTCTACAAAGCCTGGACCAAACCAAATTCCTGGTCGGAATCGCCATCTACCTGGACAAATATTCACTTTGGCGATATCCACAATGACTTGGTGGAAACTCCTGGGCCATTCACAGCAGAAAAGATGAAAACCTCCAAGAGTCTCGATGCGTTGTTGAACTTAGAGTCCACGGTTTTGTTAGGATCTCGAAGTTTACTCTGCGAATGTTTGAAAGCCGTTTAATTCACCGTTAGCGGTTCTTTTCACTCAGAATACGTAAAAGACATTTTCCTTCTTCCGTGCTTCTATTTGTGCATCCGATAATGCAGCAGGAATTTACCATTATCGGGGATAAATACGTGAGGTTACGCACTGTGTTTGACCGCTACCGTGTTTCTTGCCTCCGACCAAAATATTTTCCAGCATGCAACGCGGGCTTTTAATAACAATGACGTCAGCTGAAACTCGCCTATAGCATCTGCAACTGTTGATTTGGGAAGAAATATTATTTATTCCTTACCTGCGTGACATGAACGTAATCAACTCATGTCGGCAGTCGTGCCATGTAACGGGATAAAAGCAGATGCTTGTCCTTTCCAAATCAGAAAACTTTTTTATGCTCAACATGAACAAATGCGTTGAGATATACTGTAACTTGTGTGTGTAATTAATACTGTATATATATAATGAAAAAATTTATTTATTTTTTTATTTATATGTATATAGATGAACTTGCTTAACTTTCCAGCTAATTTCCTTAGTAACATACACCAAAAAATCCTCTTGGTGATATATCGATACAGCAGCCCACAATATCGGTACTGTTTCATCACATTAAACAATACAATATATCTAGATTTCGATATTTTTGCACATCCCTCGTTCTTACTGTAAATAGGGTTGCACAGTCTCCACAGATCTGACCTGTTATGTAGCTTCTAGTTGAGTCCCTTGTGATAGATTACATTGAGGTTTAATCGATACTATGGAAATTTCCAGACAAATCAGGTGCAGGACCCTCCACTAGAAGAGTTGCGCAGTGCACCGTTCATGTTGTATACACTCTTTTGTATCCTTGTGTAACTCGAGGTTAGTGATCGTTGGCTCCAGAGGGACGGCGCAGACTATCTAACCAAATCCTCACCATAAACATGTCCTAATCCCAACTGTAACTCTAACCATGACTTTATTTATAACCCTGTTCCTGAACTTCATTCCTTTTTAACGGCGCTGTATTACACGAAATGGATTCTAGTAGAGTTTTAAGCCATGTCGTCATGTCGTTTCCCTCCGCAAAAGACAAACCTGCAGTCGTGTTTTGTTTCATCCACACGTCTTTTTGAGTAAATATTATTAATCTGTCTACATTAAGGCTGGGTGTCATTAAGAAGTTGTTGATACGATACATACCTCGATACGTAGGCCGTGATACAATACGTTTTTCGGTTTAATACCATATATTACTACTAAATCATGGCTGTGATACTAAAAGTTAACTAAGTTCTCCAAGTTTGTGCAAAGTTATTATGAAAAACACCCATTTTACTCATCAAAACTGAAAATGTCAACACAATTCTATCTCTTATATAATATCATTTTGTAAAATATACAGCAGCCCACGATTCTGTATCATCAAATTAAATGATTGAATAAGCCTTATTATTAGTCTGTCTACATTAATGCTGGGTGTCATTAAGAAATTGTCGATATGATACATACTTCGATATGTTTTTTGATTCAACACGATACATTACAAATCGATTTGATACGGTTCAGTGAAAAACAAAGGCTAAATCATGACTGTGATACTAAAAGTTCACCAAGTTTGTGCAAAGTTAAAATGAAAAACCACAATTTTACTGAACATAACAGTGAACAGTGTTTTCACATCTGGTTAGTGTTGGAACAGAGGCGTTGTTTAAAAGGTTTGAAGAAGTGTTTTGATATTTCATGGTAATATTTGATAATCATGCAATTGTGGATGTTTCATTGTGTTTGAATCAAATAAATTTAATCCATGGTTTTCAAATTTATTTTTATTTTTTTTAATGCACAGCGATAATGTTAAATTTTTAATGTAATTGATAAGGTGGAGGCTTTAATTTAAATTTAAGCCCTTTTGGGGTTTTTGCCTCTTCCGGAACCTAGTTTTTTTTTTTTTTTAATATTATTACATGCAAAAAAAAATTGAATAAAATTAAATAAATAAATAAAGTAATAAAAAATAAATAATAATATAATATAATGAAATATGATGAAATATAATACAATGTAATGTAATGAAATATAATGAAATGAAATGAAAAGTTAACACATTTGTAGCTCTTACACAAAATAATTTAGTAAAATACACCTAAAAATACTCTTATATATCGATACAGCAGCCCACGTTTCTGTATCATCAAAATAAACGGTACAATATAAAATGCTCAGTTCCACCTTGTGATGTCATGAAGCGATAGTTTATCCAGATTATTCTAGTGAAAGTGTATGGAGTTTAAAAACACACTGAAGCTCTTCCTGTTACGCCACATGACGTCACAAGTTGGAACATGGAGTGTTAACAGAGAGCTCGGCCCAAGTATGCGGGATTTGTGTGTTAAACATGTGTGAATGAAACAAAAATCAACTCCAGGTCTGTTTGTGATGAGGAAACAACATTTATAATAGATCAGAAAATGTCGTAACATGGGCCCTTTTTGGAACTTTTTAAGCCAACCTAATGAAAACACCATGTCTCTGGATTAGACACTGACACAAATGTTTTATTAAAGCGTGAATTTATTTATTTTAAGAGAATTTTAAAAGAATGTTTATTTGTATTGCAGTCGGGAATATTCAGTGTTGCAGTAGTAAAGTACAAGAATAGCCGCAGATTAAAATACATCCAAAATATGCAAGAGAAATAATGATACAAAAGAAACAAAGAAGCAGGCAAGGCAAGTTTATTTGTAAAGCACAATGCGAACGCAGAGTAATTCAAAGTGCTTTACAGGACAAGAAAAACATTAAACTCAGAATACAAATGAATCAAAACATAAATTATCTTTATACAATTAACATGAAAACAAAAGATCGCTGACCTGGATTTAAACAAGGTCAAAGTAGAAGCCTGTTTCACTTCTTCATGGTTTTAGCTGCACAAAACTGAAACGCTGATTCCGCACGTTTAGTCCTGACTCTGGCCACTCAAATGGCACAAACAAAAAAAAACTAAACCGTCCAACACCTGATTGTTTCTATGGATATGTCATTGCTCTGCCTGGAATGTTCCACCGTGTGACTTTAAACGGCTCCACCTTGCATTTATTCAATTACGGGTGGTTTTATAGCTCAAAAATACCTAATGAGATAAAGCTAGATTAATATATCGCCTCTGTAAACCACTTTTACTTGAAAATGGACAGTGTGATACTACTACTGCTATTGCTGCTACTACTACTACTACTACTACTACTACTACTACTACTACTACTACTACTACTACTACTACAGCTACTACTACAGCTACTACTACTGCAGCTACTACAAATACTACTACTACTACTGCAACTACATAAAGGAGCTTTGGTGGTTGCTATGTTAGTTATAATATATTTAATTGCTACTACTACAGCTACTAGAGTTACTCCAAATACTACTACAGCTACTAGAGTTACTCCAAATACTACTACAGCTACTAGAGTTACTCCAAATACTACTACAGCTACTAGAGTTACTCCAAATACTACTACAGCTACTAGAGTTACTCCAAATACTACTACAGCTACTAGAGTTACTCCAAATACTACTACAGCTACTAGAGTTACTCCAAATACTACTACAGCTACTACTACAGCTACTAGAGTTACTCCAAATACTACTACAGCTACTAGAGTTACTCCAAATACTACTACAGCTACTAGAGTTACTCCAAATACTACTACAGCTACTAGAGTTACTCCAAATACTACTACAGCTACTAGAGTTACTCCAAATACTACTACAGTTACTAGAGTTACTCCAAATACTACTACAGCTACTAGAGTTACTCCAAATACTACTACAGCTACTAGAGTTACTCCAAATACTACTACAGCTACTAGAGTTACTCCAAATACTACTCCAGCTACTACTACAGCTACTAGAGTTACTCCAAATACTACTCCAGCTACTACTACAGCTACTAGAGTTACTCCAAATACTACTCCAGCTACTACTACAGCTACTAGAGTTACTCCAAATACTACTACAGCTACTAGAGTTACTCCAAATACTACTACTACTACAGCTACTAGAGTTACTCCAAATACTACTCCAAATACTACTACAGCTACTAGAGTTACTCCAAATACTACTACAGCTACTAGAGTTACTCCAAATACTACTACAGTTACTAGAGTTACTCCAAATACTACTACAGCTACTAGAGTTACTCCAATACTACTACTACTAGAGTTACTCCAAATACTACTACAGCTACTAGAGTTACTCCAAATACTACTACAGTTACTAGAGTTACTCCAAATACTACTACAGCTACTACTACGGCTACTATAGTTACTATAGTTACTACAGCTACTACTACAACTACTATAATTACTACAGCTACTACTACAGCTACTATAGTTACTACAGCTACTACTACAGCTACTATAATTACTACAGCTACTACTACAGCTACTATAGTTACTACAGCTACTACTACAGCTACTATAGTTACTACAGCTACTACTACAGCTGCTATAGTTACTACAGCTACTACTACAGCTACTATAGTTACTACAGCTACTACTACAGCTACTATAGTTACTACAAATACTACTACAGCTACTATAGTTACTACAGCTACTACTATAGCTAATTACTACTACTACCACAGCTACTTCTTTATTCAGTTACAGGTGTTTTTATAGCTCAAAAATACCTAGAAAAACAGGCATTCTGACTGTGAGCGGCGTTGCCTCTCCACAGATCTGACCTGTAGCGTGGCCTGGTTTGGTCTGGTCTAATGCCAGACTGTGAAACATTCCAGAAAAAGCAATAACATCTCCATAAATAAAAGCATTCGACAGACCCTCCACGAGAAAAGTTGCACAGTGCATCTTTTTAAACTGTAAAACGTTGTATAAAACAAATTTACGACTCATTATTTATGCAAACTAAATACTAAAGTGTTTCATTTAATATTGTACGTTTAGAATATTTTTTTTGCGGCTTTTATAGCGTAATTTTCAACATCTTTATCGGGTTCTCCAACCTTTATCCTCCATTGAGCTTCTTTTACAAAACGAAAATGCCACAGAGCTACTAATTTTACTTTTACAAAATGAAAATGCCAGAGAAGTTTTGTAAATATAAGAGCTACAGCAAAATTTAGATATAAAACATAAGCCATTATCAGTTTATTAGTGCACAAAATTACACGTCTAAATGATAGATTTACAATAATAATTAGTACAATACATATAATTCATAAATCCCTTGGTGAGCTCCCCCTTGATCTTGATATTTTCTTCATCGTTATATCACACTTCAGATTCTCGTGACAGGCCTACTCACCAGCTTGTCCCTCACATATCAGCTTTCTGTTGCTGTAAAGCGGTGCTGTGTTGCCAGGTTGGTGCCCGCCGCTCGTCCTGGCGCGTCATCTCCAGTATCGAGGGCAAGGCCGACTCTGGGAACGAGAAGAAGAAGCAGATGGCCCGCGACTACCGCATCAAGATCGAGAAGGAGCTTGACGATATCTGCAAGGATGTGCTGGTAAGTACTTCGTTTTATTTATTTTTTTATTTAGAATTTAGTTTTCTTTGCAGACAAGAGACACGTGTATGACAAAAACATACACAAACACACACACAAAAATATATAAATGCGTAAATGTTTTATAATGATACGAGGACTGTGGGTTGAGTGTGGCTTGGTTAGCAGTGTGTTTGTTTCCCATTTCTGTGACTTAAACTGTGATGCCGGAATTTTGCGCCGCATATAGACTGTGCCCAGGACTGTGCCCAGGACTGTGCCCAGGACTGTGCCCAGGACTGTGCCCAGGACTGTGCCTGGTCTCAGTCTCAGTCACAGGTGTCGGTCTGGTCTCCGGTCTCGGTCCTGGGTCTCGGTCCCGGTCTCGGTCCCGGTCTCGGTCCCCGGTCTCGGCCCCGGTCTCGGCCCCGGTCTCGGCCCCGGTCTCGGCCCCGGTCTCGGCCCCGATCACCTGACAGTCGACAAGGGCGCACCTCCAGACCCGTCCTGACACTTAGTCCTGGTTCAGGCCGTATACGGCGCAACCAGGACTGAAACCAGGACTAAACCGTTTTCAGTGCTGGTCTGGTCCCAGCCTCAGTCCAGGTCTCAGTGCCGGTCCTGTTCCAGGTCTCAGTCCCGGTCTGAGTCCCGGTCTGGTCCCGGACCTGGTTCAATCCTGGTTCAGAGTTACGGAAATTCGTTTTTTCCATTATTCACTTAAACACAAAATTGAAAACTGAAAAAACTAATCATTATCTGTTTGATCCTATTTTCTTCATTATCCGACAAATAATGAAGAAAATAGTTGTTTTTTCATTTTCTTATTTTTGGTTTTATTTTGAAAAATGTATGAACGAATGATACGCGGACTGTTACTATATTAACTTACTGTTCAATATATGAAAGCTGATAGAATATAGTTTTTGGGGTCAGTATTTATTGGAGACAATTTGAGACAATTTTGCTATTTTTGTGTAATAACGTAAGACTTGAGCTGTAGAGGACTAAATAAATAATAACTATGGCTATTTATTGCTTCATTCTGCTATTTATTTTGTTATTTTGTTTGCAGCTCAAGCTTTTAATGATACTTTATATTTAAAAATAGTTTTACGGTCATTATCCTGCTTTGTACCAGAGGCATGAAGTTGTTGCAGTATTATCGTTTATCGAAGTATTCTCTGTATGGGGTAAGATGGAGTTGAGAGATGGTGCAAGATGCAGAGAAGATGCAGTAAAGATGGAGGACACGTTAAAAGCAGCAGAGTCTTGAGGAGTGACAGTGGGAGAGTATGACCTTGACCCACATGTGAGAACAGAAATAGATCTCATTATCTCAACTCTGCGGTTCATCGGGCTGGTGGAACGCTTTGTTTTAATCGCCGCGTTTATTCATTCACTGTACGTCGACGGTATTTTAGAAATGTTTTAACGAGATAAAGCTAGATTAATATATCGGCTCTGTAAGCTGCTTTTACTTGAAAATGGACAGTGTGATACTACAGCTACTACTACTACTACTACTACTACTACTACTACTACTACTACTACTACTACTACTACTACTACTACTACTACTACTACTACACTACTACTACTACTACTACTACTACTACTACCACTACTACTACTACCACTACTACTACTACCACTACCACTACCACTACCACTACCACTACTATTACTACTACTACTACATAAAGGAGCTTTGGTGGTTGCTATGTTATAAGAATATATTTAATTACTACTACTACAGCTACTACTACTTCTACAAATACTATAGCTACTACAAATACTACTACTTATACTATAGCCACTACTAGAGCTACTTCTACAGCTACTACTACAGCTGCGACTACTGCTACTATAGCTGCTACTAGTACTACAGCTACTATAACTACTACAAATACTACTACTACTACTACTACAGCTACTAGTACTACAGCTACTACAGCTGATACAAATACTTCTACTACAGCTACTACTAGTACTACAGCTACTACTAGTACTACAAATACTTTTACTACAGCTACTACTACAGTTGCTACTACTACAGCTACTACAGCTACTTCTACAGCTACTATGGCTACTTATAAATACTACTACTTCTACTACAATTGCTATGCTAGTTATAAGAATATATTTAATTACTACTACTACAGCTACTACTACTACAGCTACTACTACTATAGCTACTACAAATACTACTACTTCTACTATAGCTACTACAAATACTACTACTACAGCTGCTACTAGTACTACAGCTACTATAGCTACTACTAAATACTACAGCTACTACTACAAATACTTCTACTACAGCTACTACTACTAGCTACTATGGCTACTATAAATACTACTTCTACTACAACTGCATAAAGGAGTTTTGATGGTTGCTGTTCTAGTTACAAGAATATATTTAATTACTACTACTACTTCTACAGCTACTGCTACTACAGCTACTACAAATACTATAGCTACTACTTCTACTGTAGCTACTACTTCTACTATAGCTACTACAAATACTACTACTTCTGCTATAGCTACTACTAGAGCTAGTACTACAGCTACTACAAATATTTCTACTACAGCTATTACTACAGCTACTACTAGTACTACAGCTACTACAGCTACTACAAATACTTCTACTACAGGTACTACAGCTACTTCTACAGCTACTATGGCTACTACAAATACTACTACTATAGCTACATAAAGGAGCTTTGGTGGTTACTTAGTTATAGTACAGTTATAGTTGTAAGACTATATTTAACTACTACTACTACTACTACTACTACAGCTGCTGCTACATCTATTACTACTACTACAAATGCTACTACAACTACAAAAAGGAGCTTTGGTGCTATGTTAGTTATAAAATATATTTAATCACTACTACTACAGCTACTACAGCTACTACTACTACAGCTGCATTAGTCTTATATATTGGTTTTCCATACCCTCAAAATCACTTTACAATTTGATGCATTATTCATTCATTCCACACTGGATGGAGGTAAAATACTAAAGTACTATTACTGTACTGTATTGTACTATTACTATTACTGCTACCACTATTAACAAATACTACTTCTGCGATCACTGCTACTACTACTACTACTACAACAAAATAAAGGAAGTGTGGTGAGTGTTATGTTATCAGAATATTTATTTTAATACCGCTGAGTATCAAACACAAACACTACTGAAGTTGTTACTACTAGAACTATCCCATTGAAGTAAAGTATGTACTCAAAAACAACTACTACAAGTGTACTACTACTACTACTACTGTGTCCACTGGTATACTGAAAGCCTGATACTGCAAATCCTTACTACTTGTTTCCACTACTTTGTACTACGACGCCTACTTCTACTCACTGTCTTATTATTGAGTAAATAAAATACAAATACGTTACAATCTATTCATATTATTTGACAAAAATAATAAATAAAGAGTAAATTAAAAAAGACATCGTAAGAAAATGTAAAAACCATAACTTCATTTGGATTTGTCGCCTTGTGCCCCCTTGTGGCCAAATGTAAGCCGAGTTTGTGATGTACAGTGCTGCATGCGCTCTTAAATCCATGGGTGAATTTATTTATTTTATTTTTTTTTTTTTTGGAGGAGAGGGTCTGTGGCGACTGTTGCCGTGGTAACAGAGTGTGGAGACTGCTGCCATGGCAACAGAGTGAGAAGACGAGAGTGGATTCGCAGTACAGTGTGGTGTAGTAGTAGTATTATTATTTGGTACAGGTAATTCACGTATTTTCAGCAATAAATGCTTTTTGAGGAAGCGGCGAATGCAATTTCCAATCTGTTGCTACTAAAATACGAGTGATTTCTCTGGCAAATTTAGAAAAAAAAAGTTATGATTACGATTTGAGCTGCAGTATCTGTCAGCATCGGTCCATTAACGCAGTGGTTTGTGGTTCAATTTGTGCCATTATCACTGAATACTGCGGGCATAAATTATAAATAAGAGTAGTATCATCACGTAACATATAATGGATACTAACTCGTGTTGAAACTAGATGCTTGTTTGAAAAAAAGAGGGAAAAAAAACCAAACATCAGTACCGTGGAAACGAGCATAAAAACAAGCTCGAACATTTCTTGTGTTTTTTTTTTTAGTTTTATTATTTTGTGCCGGAAATGGCATTTTATTATTTTCTGAAAGAGTGGAGTTGTCCTTTGAGTGATTCATGCTACGAATAACACTGAATTTTTTTTTTTTTTTTTGATATCTGCTCCAAATATTGATTCATCCGATATCTTTGTTTGACGTGTTTTAATTGTCTAATGTTCTGTTTACACAAGGCTTTTCTGTAGTTGCTCGAAGGATGGGTAACAGCAACATAACACATCAGGTTTGTCTTTTTGGTTAAAGGAAAAAATGCTGTGTCCAGTCTCTGAGGATACACGAAATCAATCAATCATACTGTATTTATAGAATGAAAACTGCTTCAAATTAAAATCAACACAATATAAAAACATTCACATTAAATCAGCGCAATTTATCACAATATATCAAAAGATAACAGTGTAGATACTTTTATTTTTAAGGCATGGAACGCAAGTATTTTAGAAACGATTTAATGCGGTAAGACTACCAACAGATTAATACTATCTACTTTGTAAGCTGCTTTTACTTTACTGCTACAGTGACTACAAATACTACTACATAAAGGAGCTTGGGCAGGGTGTTATGAGAATAAATTTGAATTCTACATACAAACATGAAACCTGTGGGTGACGTCATACTCCCTCAGTGCGCTTCTATGGGTGTAACCTGGTGTGAATCTTCGACCGCAACTTCCCTAACGCGATTTTTGCCTCGTGTTTTGTCTCTTACCAGGAGCTGCTGGACGCTTACCTCATCAAAAATGCCAGTGCTGCAGAGAGCAAGGTGTTCTACCTCAAAATGAAGGGCGACTACTACAGATACCTGTCCGAGGTGGCGTCAGGGGACAACAAGAAAGGTGGGTGTCACTTTTGGATCGTAACACCAGGCCTTGTGATAGTATAATGTAATATCCATGAGACTCAGGTATTATTAGGGTTCAGACGACCTCACAATGTTCTTTTTTCTTTTTTTTTTTTAATACTTTATTGCAGGAGTCACCAAACTTTTTTCTCTTGTCGCTCCTGACTGTGATGGGGGTCGGGTTGGTCATTTAACAGAACTTTGTGACCCTGATGACGCAGATTATATTCTTTAACTCTTTCCCCCATGAAGACGACATTTGACGACCCCCCTTGAACCCTGAATGACGACTTTTGACACCTCCGCCGTATCACTAAAGACGTGATTTGACGACCTTTAGAAATGGCTCGGTTTTTCACATTTAAACAGAGGCTGTGATAGGTGGGGGCCACTACAACCCACACTAGACTGACCAATAGGATTCAAGGATATGTTTTCGCAGATTTTTTCCGAAGTTAATCGAAATAGTGACGATGGTAGCTTCCGGAAAAAAACACAACATGAAACACGTGCAATGGAAAGATCGCGGCGCTGCGGCGCACAGTTTTAGAAATAATGAGGAGCGGACGTATTTTATGGATAAGTTTAGAGAAAGTGACTTTTATAGATTTCAAAGTGATGATGTTGAAGTTGATTATAAAGTGGAAAACAGCGACAGCGACGGACTTTCGGGGAGAAGGTGAGAATGCCGCTGATGCGTCTGTGTGGAGTCCTGCGATGTCCGAACAAACTATCTGAGCTTTATACTCGATTATGAACCAAAATTGCCCTGAAATCTGGATGTTGCCCAGGTTAGTCCTTTAAAATATTTCAGTCTTTTTTTCCAAGATGCGATGTATAACAGAATCGCTACAGAAAAAACGCTTATGCGGAGCTCTGCACTCGAGAAAATAACCAAGATGACAAATACTGGACACACACTGACGGGGAAGAGTTTTATTATTATATTATAATAAGCTAAATGAGTTCAATAAGCTAAATGAGTTGAATAAATAAAATAAGTTGAATAAGCTAAATGAGTTGAATAAGTTAAATGGAATTGGAGTGCACACAGGTGTACAACAGGTAAAAACAGGTGTACACTTGGCTATACTGTATCTGGTGATATGAAATCTGTTTAAATACTTTGACAAAGTATATTTTTTATTTTTTTATGAATATAGTACTCAGAACATGCAGATATCAGATGCTGAATGTAGTTTTTTGTTTTCGAGTTTACCCCTGACCAGGTAAACTCTCATTTTCAGTGAGCTGTTATACACCTATAAATGAGTTGAATCACATTTAAACATCCATAAATGAATAGTTCAGAGTCTAAGGTTTCCAGAGATACAAATATGTCTGTGTTACAATTAAGTTCATGAGTGTAAAAATCATTTATAATCACTCGTGGAAGTCTGTTTTCTTTTATGCAGTTATGCTCTATGTGTAGCCCTAGTAACATATGTATGGGTTGTTCCTAGTAGGCGTCCAGGGGGGAAAGAGTTAAAAGCCACCACCATACTTTCTTGACATGTCAGACAAACTGCACGCTCCTTACACTGAACAAAAAAATAATTGGTTGTCCACTGTTCTTTGAAAACTCAGCATTTTCTGTAAATTTTTCGTACTTTAACACTTGCCGTTTTGCTGTTCTGAACTGCACTACAGAACTCTGCACGTGTGTTGACTCACTGTTTGATCTCGAGTTTGTCAGGTGACAAAATTTCGGCGGCAAATGTAAATACGTCATATAATAATTGAAATATAAATACTTAAATATAAATATAATTTTGTATTGAAAAAATCAACAAAATACAAGATGCAGATATGTTATTATTTGCCAAAAAGTAATTTTATAAAATAGGTCATGACAACTATTGAGGATTGCCTCATAGGGCTATTTCAAGTAGTGGGGGGCCGGAGACAACCCATGGGCCTTAGTTTGATGACCCCTGCTTTATTGCATAATTTTCACACAAAATGTCATGGTAGTTAGGGCTGGGTATCATTAAGAAGTTGCCGATATGATGCAAACCTCGATACATGGGCCATGATACGATACATATCTTGAAACGGTGAGTTTTCGATACGATTCTATAAAAAAAATAAAGGCTAAATCATGGCTGTGATACTCAAAGTCTTTGATAAACCACAGCTTGTGCAAAGTGAATATGAAACACACATTTTAATCATAAAAACAGTGAAAATGTCAAATGAGTTTCCTTCGTCTAAACAAGCAACAAAACTGTAGCGTTGTAACAAAATAATTTTGTAAAATACACCAAAAAATACTCTTGGTGATATATTGATTAGGGCTGGGTATCATTAAGAAGTTGCTGATACGATGCATATCTCGATACAGTGAACATTCAATTCGATACGCTATATTTATACAAATCGATTCAATACAGGGGATATTTTCACTGCTGCTTTACACAATGTGATGTATTGAGTTTGAGAATCAGCATTCTGCATCAAAATAAAATGAAATGTGAATGTAGCGAGACCAAATGTCGGGTCTTGTTTATGCCATTTTACCAATCTTCTGAATTTTTTCAGTTTGTGATATCAATATAATCCTCATCTGCTCGCAGACGTTTACTATGAAATCGTATTTTAAATAATTTTGTCTTGTTCCCCATGTACAAAATAAACGAGTAAAATACACAAAAATTACACTTGGCAATATTTTGATACATGATAAATGATAAACGGTATATCGATATTTAAATATTTTTGCACACCCCTTATAGTAGTTATAACACTTTTTTTCCCTCGTGATATAAAATAGAACTATACATATGTGCACTCATGTTCATGTATCACATGTACACATACATGCACATACATATTCATATACACATATATGGACACACACAGCACACATACCATTACATAATCATGAATATCTATGGACGCACAAGCACATAAACATGTACAGATACACACATGCCTAACAAAATTACAGTAAAGATGGATACATATAACATGCACATATACATACTGTACATACTAGGGGTGTGCAGGAATATCGATATATCGTATCGTTTAATGTGATGATACAGTATCGATATCGTGGGCTACTGTATTGATATATCACCAAGAGTATTTTTAGGTGTATTTTACTAAATTATTTTGTTACAGTGCTACAGTTTTGTTGCTTGTGGAGTGAAAGGAAGCTCATTTATGCAACACATTTGACATTTTTAGTGTTTTGATGATTAAAATGTTTGTGTTTCAGATGAACTTTGCACAACAAATGGTTTAACAAAGCCTTTTAGTATCACAGCCACGATTTAGCCTTTATTTTTTATTGAACCGTATCGAATCGATTTGAAATACATCATATTGAATGGAAAGTGCTCTGTATCGAGATATGTATCGTATCGAGGTATGTATCGTATCGGCAACTTCTTAATGATACCCAGCCCTAGTACATACACGTATATTTAAAAAAAAAAAAAGATATATAAAAAATAATAATATATAAATCAGTCAAAGGAGTACTAATTATGAGAAATTTCCCCTCCCCGTTGCCCACATTCAAGTTTTTATTTTTATTTATTTTTTACATGGGGCAGCCGCGGGGTCTTAAAAAGGTCTTAAATTTCATGTTCCTAAATTAAGGCCTTAAAAAGTCTTAAATTATGATTTCCAAGTTTTATTTTTTTCACAAAGGTCTTAAATTTCATTAGCTTGTTTTTTTTTGTATACTCAACCGGGCTGTTCAGTGGAGAGAGGGAAAAAAAAACAACTTGGAATCATGTTACGTGAATGAACATCTAATTTGGAGTATGCGCAAACAATACTTTGGTTTCTGGCGACGGCGGCGATGAGTAAACAATTAGTAGAGTGGAGGAAGACGTTGGATGGATCATGGGGAAGTGTCGATTTAATCCACAGTGGCTCTTAGATTCTAGATATAGTAGTTGGTTGGTCATTATTAGAATTGGATCTGGAGTTTTGGGTGTGATATTGGTCTTAATTTTAATTTAAATGGTCTTAAAACGGTCTTGAAGTCTTAAATTTGGAGTAGTCAACCCTGAGGATACCCTGAAACATTCTTTAGGTCTGTAATATGTAATACAGATGGGGTCAGCTAAAATGAATATTGTGAAAATTTAGTTCTAGGTTTTCGCCAATAATAGAAATAATCAGCTTCAACATTTGTGTTTTTACCTTTTAGATATTTCATGACAAAGCACAATGTAATCAGTAAGGAAGTCTGACTCTTACCCCCATCTGGGAAAATTACATCATCACATTCTCATCATTCACATCACCAACTGTGTCCGATACGAAAGTTTGTTTTAAAGTGAAACTAAAACGCCTAAACTTCGCCCACAACCACAAAACTTCAAATAGAGGTAATTCTGGGCAGTGCCTGGAGGAATAAAGAAGAGAGAGAGGAGAAGGTTTGGGCAGATGAGGAGCTGTGTGATTGGTTTAACAGGTTTCGTAATTCGAAACATCTGGCTGCAGTTTGGACAGTCATGTGTGATGTCATGTAGTACTTGAAATTCTTGTGGTCACCGGAGTCAGCGCACACGCAATTCTTTTTTTTTGACTGTTTTAACCACAAAGCTGCGAAATTACCTAAATTACACAAAAATTCTCACTAATTTCCACTAGATAATGCTGTTAAAACACATTACGCAGATGTTTTTAGAAGCAGAGGAAAAGCTGCTTTAGTGTTTAGTTTCACTTTAAAGGGCGTGTACCTGATTTCAAAGCATGAGTCAGGGACATGTTTGAGTTTGAACTGTTGACCCCACCCACTTAGTCCTTTTCTGACTCTGTGATTCTGATATAACTGTCTGGGATAGTGTCAGCCATTTGGTTTCTTTCTTTTTATTCTTAGTGAAAGATGATAAAAAGTGGCTCTGTCGGTGTCTTTTGTATTATTACCCGAGAAAGAGCAACGTAAAATGTAGAGAATATATACTATAGTGTAATTTTTTTATTGTGTTTTTAAGTTTTACCATTTATTTCTCAGTGTAAAGAGCATTTTAGATTGTATTTAAATCAAGTACAGACTAGGGATGTAACGATAACCAAAATATCGTGATACCGTTCTCACAATAATATCGTGGACCATCACAATATATCGAAGTCTCTTGGCTTAAATTAAGAGTTATGGTGCAGCGATAGCTAAAAAAAACAGAGGGAACTACATAGACCATGATCCTTTGCTCCATTTCAGGGCAGACTACAAGAAGAAATAACAGTTCTAACAGTTTTAAGTCTTAGTTATTTGGATTAAGTCTCGTCAAGGCATTTTAAGAGGAAAAAGTATCATATTAAGAGCTTTATTAGTCTCCAAAAAATATATCGCAATAAATATTGTACTGTGTCAATATCGTATCGTGAGACTTGGATATCGTTACACCCCTAATACAGACTCTTTATATCAGGCGTGTCAAACTCAAATTCACAGAGGCCAAAATTAAAAACTGAACTAAATATTTATTGACAAATTTCAACAACATCTGCATATTTTCTCTTCTTTCGAGATATGTAATGTTCAAAATAAATGTTTAATAATAGTTTTGCTTAAATGTTTAATAGTTTTGTTTAAACACTGAATCCAGAACAAGCAAAATATAAAATAATAACATTTTAAATAAATAATGTCTCTACAGTCTATCTGTAGCCGACGAACCAGCTCTCATACATGTTTGATATGACCTCAAGATCCAAATATAATGATATCGTGGGCCAAATTTGGTCCCCGGGCCTGAGTTTGAGATGTCTGGTTTAAAGACTCTGAAATTAAATCAGTTCTTTCTTAAAAGGCTCATATTACGCTATTTTCTGAGCTATGTTATAATGTTGTTTCCTCAGCATTACAAACATTAAATACCTAGAGTTGCCTTTTGTTTCATTCGCACCTCTATCTCTCAAACAGAAAACACTTTGTTCCACCTTGTGATGTCATGTGGTAGTACAGGAAGTGCTCTACTGTGTTTTTAAACTCCATCCACCTTCACTAGAATCATTTGGATAATTTCAGCTCTGGAATTGCCGATTTCTACTGAACAAAAGGTAAAAACTACAACTACATGACATCACAAGGTGGGACAGAGCATTTTGAGCTTTGGAGATGTAAACAGACTAATAATAAAATGTTACGTAAACGTGTGAATGAATCAAAACACAACTCCAGGTCTGTTTTTGAGGAGGAAACAACATTAAAACAAGGCTTAAAGGTCACAAGAGTTTTGTGTAATAGGACCTTTTAACATATTCAAAATAAACACATTAATCAAATATTTTTTCTGAGGCAAAGCATGGTCTAGTTCTAGTCATTTCCTTGTGTATCGTCTTAAAGGTGTAACTTTTCTTGGTAACATGTCCGCTGCTTGCTCGTCTCCATGGAGATGGTTTTGTTTTGCTTGGAATATTCCACAATCTCGCAACATGCCCATCCAGGATTTGGTTAATTATGGGTGCTTTTATGACTCAAAAATGCCATGAAAAAAAAAACTCGCATTCTTACTGTGGGATTGCCTCTTCTCCGTTCTCCAAACATCTGACCTGTAATTTCCACCACAAAGGTTACGCAGTGTATCTTTAAATGTTGCAATGTGGTGCCACTTTCTCACAAGATTATGCTGATTTAAATCTTAGTCTTTTGGATTCGTTTATCTATATTCACTTTTTCCATTGTAAAATATTCACTCTCCCTATTCTCTACCATTTACTATCATCATGGAGACCAAACCAGACCAAGTTACAGGTCAGATCTGTGGAGAGGCGACCCCCGCTGAGTCAGAATGCCTGTTTTTCTAGGTATTTTTGAGCTGTAAATTACCATCTGTAATTTAATAAATGAAGGTAATGCTGTTTAATGTCATACTGTGGAACATTCCAGGCAGTACAAAGTTTATGAACAGTTAATTTGGTTAAATTTCGGACTCTGGGGCATGAAAAGCTGGTCCCACCCTGACCCAACACGAAATGTCGAACATTTAGGGAGTCCCTACTCACTACCACATGTGAGTAACCCCAGAGCCTTGTTAGAAATTAGTCACTAGCTAGCATTAGTCACTCTCACCTTTTTTTTTTTTGAAAATGAAACACCTAATCAGGACCATGAGTGTTTGTGTAATCACAGACTTCTGAAAAATGTGGCGTTTAAATCCATTTTGTATTTTTTGTAAGTTTTCACACACCTTGTATTTGTCAATTTGTGCATTTCGTCACCATGGTAACTACCGCGCTTTTCTCCATAGTTACTGGTGCAGTACCCTCCAAAAATATGCAATATTTGATAGCTGTTTTCTAGTACGATAATGATATTTTCATACTTTTTGGCACAATACGTCCAGTTAAATAAAAATGTATGCGCTTTAATTTTCTTTTATTTAGACTTGGCTTGGTCTTGGTTTTGTCTCTGATGAGTTTTACTAGGACTTAATGAGTAAATAGTCTTGCCTATTCCTCCATTTTACTTTCCAAAAACCAAAAAACAGCACATTTTTGTAAAATTGAACTTTGAGCTCTTGAGAGTTCTGTGTTTTCTTGCTATATGGACATTTATTGCCATATATTGCATACTCTACATGATGTCACGAATATCAGTAGTAGTGTCTGTAGTAGTGTCTAGTGTATAGTATCAAAAGTATGTAGTGTCAATAGCATGTAGTGTTAATAGTATAGAGTATACAGTGTACAGTAATATGTAGTATCCAAAGTATGTAATATCCAGTGTAGTTTCAATTGTATCTAGTATCAATAATATCAAGAGTAGTACCTAGTATCAGGAATAGTATCAGTAGTATCTAGTATCAAGATTATTTAGAGTAGTATCAGTAATATCTAATATCAAGAGTATCAAGAATAGTATCAGTAGTATCTAGTATCAAGATTATTTAGTGTAGTATCAGTAATATCTAGTATCAAGAGTCGTATCAGTAGTATCTTGTATCAAGAGTAGTATCGAGTATCAAGAGCATTTAGAGTAGTATCAATAGTATCTAGTATCAAGAGTAGTATCGAGTATCAAGAGCATTTAGAGTAGTATCAGTAGTATCTAGTATCAAGAGTAGTATCGACTATCAAGAGCTTTTAGAGTAGTATCGAGTATCAAAAGCATTTAGAGTAGTATCAGTAGTAGTATCGAGAGTATCTAGAATACTATCAGTATTATCTAGTATCAAGATTATCGACAGTAGTATCGAGAGTATCTAGAATAGTATCGGTAGTATCGAGTCCACAGTAGTATCCACATTAGTATCCATGCAGTAACGTTGGTGTTTCTTTTGTGTAGAAACGGTGGAGAACTCGCAGAAGGCCTACCAGGAAGCGTTTGACATCAGTAAGAAGGACATGCAGCCCACACACCCCATCCGCCTCGGCCTGGCCCTCAACTTCTCCGTCTTCTACTACGAAATCCTCAACTCCCCAGAGCAGGCCTGCACTCTGGCCAAGCAGGTATGTACGGCGCCCTCTAGTGGACAGCACGCAACCGAACTCACTGCACTTTTTAGCTTCTCTATCTGATCTGACTTTAAATTCTGTAATGAGTCAATGGAACTTTTGAGATTTAATACTTTGAATGTTTAATTTTAGAGTAAACCAGGTCAAAACTGGTTCTAAACATCATTTTTGCAGCATTTTGGCTCTTGCAACATAATTATAATTCTAGTGTGTGTAACTGTAAGCTGTTCTGTTTGTTTCACTCCTGTCTGTCTCTGTTTCTCTATCTCAGGCTTTCGACGAGGCCATCGCTGAGCTCGACACCTTGAACGAGGACTCGTACAAAGACAGCACGCTGATCATGCAGCTACTAAGGGACAACCTCACTGTGAGTACTGACACCACAGAAACATACACATACACTACGTCAAATCACACACACTACGCCAAATCAGCTCAAACAGGTTCTTCTGGTCTGTTTACGAATTACTGACATTTCTGCTTGATACAGGATTTTAAAAATACTTACAAATACACTGACATTTAGATTCAAAGCTCTTGGGGCCTTGCAGTTTCCCAAACAAAGGCATCCAAGTTCCATTTCCAACATCTGCATTAGTGCTCCCTCTGCTGACAGCAATGGGCATCAACCCAGGGAGGAAAAAGAAAAGGAAAAGGGAAATTAAACTGATGAAAACCGAAAAAGTGTACTATTCGATATTTGATTACTTAAGGGGTTTCCAAACATGATTCTGTATGGGGCCTTTAGTGATAAAACTTTGAAGTGTTTGGCCACAGATGCAGAAGTCTGTATCATAATGCCATGTTATTGAGGCGTAAACTTAAATTTACACTTAAAAGTACTGCCTATGAGCATAAGGACCAAAAAAAAAATTGGCTCCCGGGCCATAGTTTGGACACTCCTGAGTGAGTTCAATTAATTTAAACATAATTTTTTTTGACACACTTCAACCAATAACCAAGAATAAACTAGGACAACAAAAAACAGGCTGAATAGGGATGATCATAACTAAAATCAATGTTTTTGGAAAGTATATTAAAAAGAAATCATCTTTTCAATTTATGGGAATGAGTTTGACAAAATGCCCAATAATACGCATCACAGTAGACTCAGAGAGAGATATTTCATTGATACCGAAGGAAATTCAAGTCCGTCATCCACTACCATTGGTCATTTTTACTAAAGCTCACAAATACATAATAGACCTTTTTCACAATGGCCAGAAGTGCCTCACAGTAGTTTTGCGGAACTTCTGGTTAATGGTTTTCTGTGGCAAAATGTCTGTGGAAATGTCTTGCATATTCTCCACCAGCTTCTTAAATTTGCCCCATCACCAAATCTTCAACCAACAAGGTCGACAAACAGTCTGTCCATGAAGAATTTATCCACAACTATCAAGGTAAGAAAGACGAAAACTTAGAGGGGAACAACGACGAGCATTAGTGAACTACTGAGCAAAACTGGGAGAATGCCTATGTTCCCTCATGATCAATTTGCATCGAAAATTTATCCCCATTTCTCCCAGTTTGGTCCTCAGTTACACCCGACTATTATCCAGCAGCAGTTGACTACAGATGTAAAGGTCATAGTGCAAAAGATCCTAGGTTAAATTACTCTAAATAATCCCTTTTAAATGCAGTATAAAAATAAAATGACTTGATTTAGAGTTTAATTTTGGGAAAAAAAGTAATCGAAATAAGAATAATCTTGCTGAGGGAACATAGAGCTGACCCTGCAAAACTAACATTATGGTGTCCTGGAGAGACTGCACACATTTATCTGTGCTAATATCAACATTATGAAATCGATTTTTAATTTTAATTGGGAGGAGGCCCCGGGGAGGACTGAGGACACGGTGGAGGGACTATGTCTCTTGGCTGGCCTGGGAACGCCTCGGGGTCCCCTCAGAGGAGCTGGAGGATGTGTCTGGGCTGAAGGAAGTCAGGGGATCCCTGCTTAGACTGCTGCTCCTGCAACCCGGCCCCGGATAAGCGGAAGAAAATGGACGGATGAAATCGATTTTTAATTTTAATTGTAGAATCAGTATGAGTTAACAAGTTACTTATGTTTTATTCATTACCATAACATTAGCTTTCCTCAGTTCAGTCGTTGTTCACCTTAAAGTTTTCTTCTTTCTTACCTTGGTAGTTGTGGATAAATAATTCATGGTTCATGTTTATCCTTTGTAGACCTTGTTGGCTGAAGATTTGGTGATGGGGCAGATTTATGAAGCTGGTGGAAAATACGCGAGACATTTCCACAGATATTTTGCCACAGAAAACAATTAACCGGAAGTTCCGCAAATCTAAGGCTATGTTCAGACTGCAGCCTGAAGTGACCCAAATCTGATTTTTTTTTTTTTTTGCTTCTATGTGACCTGTATCTGATCTTTTAATGACAGTCTGAACGACACAGATCAGATTTTTTCAAATGTGACCCAGGCCACTTGGATATGTGCTCCTGAAACCGATACATATCTGATCTTTTGACATGCGACTTCAGTCTGAACGGCCAAAGTGCATTCATCCACCTACACGTTATCAACAAGCCACAAACGTCACTATTCTGCTCTGAAGTAGGTGAAAATTGTTAATGAACTCCGTGTCACTGAAGCGAAGCACATCACCACTCACCACTCTTGGCTACGTCTCCACATCCACACGTTCCTTTCAATAGGCTGCCCTACAAAACGCCACGGCCAAAAACCTCGTCCTTCACCTTCTCAATCTTCTCCTTAAAACAAGTAAGTTGTTCATGTTCTGGCTCCGGTACGAGAGGAACTTTAAAATCTCCAGGTGCTCAATGCTCGTGTCCATGTTTGGACAACTTCCGTAAACACAGAGCACGATCGCTGCGGTTGACGTCATCGTGTCTCCAGTGCACATGCGGGACAGTCTTGGGCCATTTAAAGTTCACACTGGAGATCACACACAAGTCGCATTTAATTGGAAATGTGAACGACCTCGCAAAAATGTCAGATTTCACAAAAAAATCCAAATTGAGCGTTAAGCCCTGTAGTCTGAACGTAGCCTAAAGCGCGGCACTTCTGGCTGTTGCGAAAAAGGTCTATTCTACAACACAGAAAATAAAAAAAAAAATCTCAAACCTTGTGCATTGTATTGTATTTAATAACATATTTTTTCCTTTTTCTCCTCTTTCAGCTGTGGACATCAGAAAACCAGACAGATGAGGCCGAGGCTGGCGAAGGCGACAACTAGACCCATTCCCCCCTTCACTCTTTCCACTCCTCCTTTCCTTCTTTCCTTCCTCCTGCTCTTCCTACTTCCTGCCTCCTATGCCCTACTTCCTGCTTCCTACGCCCTACTTCCTGTCTCCTCTTCGTACGCCTCGCCATAAGCCCCGCCCCCCCACACATGCCCCACATTTCCAATTCCTTCTGTATAACCTCCGGCATTCATAGCACCATTTTAAACCTGTCTCAATGTTAATTCACAAGAAAATTCCAAACCAAAATGAGTAATTTAATCCCAACATTCCTGTTTTAATCTAAATCTTTAACTGTTTTTCCTTCTCTTCTTGGCTTTTTGTCCCTCCTCCCCCCCACCATACTTCCTCCTCCTTTATAGCTAGCGTTGGTATTAGCTCCTGTTTTTATTTTTCTTAGTGTAACAATTTTATTCCACTTACAAATTATTATTAAACTATCCGGTTATTTTCAACAAACACTGTGAATTTTATTTTCTCCATGTGATTGAGGAAAATGCACAATTTTAATATTTTAATGCAAAAAGTATTTAAAACATGCTGAGGTTCATACAGAAGGTAACTCAAGGCATATTGTGACACTGACAAATCATGGAAACTCTTTAGAAATGTGGAATTAAAAGCGGTTTTGGAAAATATAAAAACAAGAAAGCATTATTTCATTAAACGGGACCCAACAAACAAAAATAAAAGTCCAATCTCTGAATGCGTAGACTTATTGTAGTGCTAAAAACTGTTTTGCCTTGTAAAAATTTCTTAATAATAATAATAATAATGGTACACTTCGATATTATGATGAATTATATAAGCTACTATTTTTAAAAATTCCAAAATAACGTTTGTATTGAATAAAAAGCCATACAAACTGGTAGGAACTGCTAAATATTAAAATACTAATTATTAAAAATTAATATTGAAAAATGGACGTAAATTTGATAAACAAACTTCGGTCTCCCGGCAACGACGTAGCTAATGTTAAATGCTAATTGCTAATGCTAAATGCTAACCGCTAACTCCGATTAGCCGTGTCACAATCGCCTTTGCCATCGACCATTTACATTCCACCTTAGGTTTAGATAACTCATGTCTTTCTATGTTTTCTTTCTACAATTTGCTGGGGACATAATAATTCATGCACTATACAATTTTACAACGGGAAAAAAAAAAATTACAAAAAAAAAAAAAAATTCTCCTAAAAATTTTCTTCGAACAAAGCTTTTTCCCCATGCAGTAGTGAATGTGGCACCTATATGTATATCAGCAATCATTTTGTTTTTACTGACCAGTATTCTGCTTAAAATAACTTAAAAAAAAACAATATAAAATGACTAAAAAAAAAAACAAAAAAAAGCTTCATGTGATGGTTTTCTTGCTTAGCGCGCACGTGGTTGTGAACATTTAGACTTTAGCTGACAGACACCCATAGAAAATGAATGAAAAGTTGTTCAAACAAAAAAAAACACACAAAAAAAAAAAAATTCCCCCCCCCCGATGCCCCGACACTGTCCTCCTCCTGGTTATTGAAGTAGGTCTGTGTGAAAGTGGCGCTAGATCCACTCCATGTTCCAACAGGACAAATGTAAGAGACGATTTAAGTGAAATAAAGGTTTTATCAGTTCTGAATCGCCTCTGCTTATTACTCAAGACGTACGTTTATTCATTTATTTAAAGTTGCGCTGTGTAACGTTTTGGTCGGAGGTCCGTCACCTGCTTGTTTCTACGAATTTGTCATTGCTCTGCCTGGAATATCCCGCAGTACGACATTAAACAGCTCTACGTTAATTTATTGCTCAAAAATACTTAGAAAAACAGGTATTCTGACACTGAGCAGGGTTGTCTCTCCAAAGAACTGACGTGTAACTTGGTCTGGTTTGGTCTTCATAAAGATATAACGTGACCAGACTTTAAAAATAAAAAACTCTGACTCCCCCGTGTTGGAATATTTGGTATAAATCAAATTGAAAAGAGCGTGAAACATTAAGACTGACACGAGAATGAATCTGAGAAACTTCTGACACTGCATTTTTTTGCTTTATAGTCATTTGCAAACACGTTTTTCTGTGTTTTGGCTAAACAAATAGTAATTTATGTTCCTCTTTTCTGTTGGCAGGGATCGGATTAGTCAAAAATTTTAATTCTTCCGGTTTAGACTTTGGTTTAGATCAAATTCAAAAAGAGATCAAGGTAAAAAATAGGGAAATCTGAGACGTTTCTTGTATAAAACTAGGACAAATCACTGGTTTTGTATAAATCTGCAGGGACTGTCCCAGTAAATAGTAACGTCTGGTCAGCCTATGAAGTTTAGAAACTTTTAATGTCATACTGTGAAATATTTTAGACAAAGCAATGACATCTCCACAGAGAAAAGCATTTGACGGACCCCCACCAGAAAATCTACACAATGTGCTGTTAAAGGTAAAAAAAAAAAAAGTGAATCATAGTTACACGATACTGGGAGGCGCAGCATTTTTCTTTCCTGGGAGTTGTTCTCTTCCTCACCTCACTACAAGAGGCTTGAGATTTGATTACTCGACAAAGTAGAGGACTTTTGGTGTGGGGTTACACATTACAAGGAGGGCTGTGCAATTGATAGTTTCAGTTACAATACAGTATTTGAAGCTCCAATAAATTGCAAACCGGTATTAAAGAAAACATTTGTTCTCAGTGATACAGACTGGTTCTTTTCCTCAAACAAGTATCAGCAAACGTTACTAGCATATTGTCCTTTTACAGGTTTTATTTTGATGTACAAGAACAAGACAACTTTGTACATCAGTGTCTTGAAATGGGTGTATTGGAGAGGAGAGGGAGTAGCCCAAGAACATAGAGAAAAACACACCATCTTACTTGCAAAATGTGAGATTTATTAGGACCTACTACAACGTTTCGGCACTAAGCCTCATTGTAGTCAGTCCTAATAAGTCACATTTTGCAAGTATGACAGTGTGCAGGATTTTTCTCTATCTTGACCGCTTTTCTCATGACAATGACTCCAGTATAATGCTTTGAGAGTCTTATCATTCACTCCACATTCGGTAAGCTGCTATTGTAGCCACAGCTGCCCTGGGACGGACCATAAAATGTATACATAAATGGACATCGCTAACCCACTCCCGCGTTCCAAATGGGAAGTGTTCACGGTGGTGCTTCCGGTTCCAACGACTCTCTGTAACTGTTGCAGTGAGGCTTGTCATATTGGTCATGATCCTGGTGTTTTCATTTTCATTTCCGTAAATAAATTCTTATTTCTAATATCAGGGTTGCCATGGTCATGGAAATTGAAAATGTCATTTTACAGGCCTGGAAAAGTCTTCAAATTTTAGTATCTTTCACACAACTACAGCATTCTGTTAAGTTCTCATTAGGCTATTATGATTATTTCTGAACGTATGCACCTTTTGTTTAAAAGAGATGACAATAAATGCACTGACAGTATTTTGAATGTTAAAAAAAAACTATAAAACCAAACCATAAGGTGAGTGGAAAGGGTTAACATTTCATATTTAGCCCTAAAGGTTTGATCAATTCTACACATGTAGGTGCTGTAAAGTCATGGAAAATTCACTTTAGGTCATGTAAAGTCATGGAGAAAATTTTGAAATTTTGTCAGGGAAAAAGAGTGGGAACCCTGTGCTATTGTAACCACAGCTTCCCTGGGACAGACCGTAGATCGTATACATAAATGGACATCGCTGACCCATTAGTCACCACATTCCAAATGGGAAGTGTTTGTTGTGGTGCTTCCAGCTTCAAAGACTCTGTAATTGCTGGTCTGAGCTTCATCATTTTGGTCTTAAAATTTTCATATTAACTTAATCTACATGATCCTGGTGTTTTCATTTAACTTTTTTTTCTGTAAATAAATTCTTATTCCTAATGTAAGGGTTCCCATGATCATGGAAATCCTGAAAAAGTCATGGAAATTGAAAATGTTATGTTCCAGGCTAAGAAAAGTTATGAAAGTTTGTAAATTCAATGAAAGTTTTGAAAAAGTCATGGAATTTTAGTATCTCTTTTACCCAACTACAGCGTTCTGTTAAGTTATGATTATTTCTGAACGTATACGCCTTTTTTAAAAAGAGATGACAGTAAATGCACTGACAGTATTTTGAATGTTAAAAAACTTACAGAAAAAACTTACAGAAAAAATTTATTAGGACAAACCGTGTTTGTCCTAACAAATTTCACAATTTGCAAGTAAGACGGTGTGCGGGATTTTTCTGTATGTTCTGGGGCTGCTCCCTCTCCTCCAACGCACCCGTCTCTAGTAGTTGATGTGCGAGGCTCTCATTCTCTCAGAATGTTAAAAAACTATCAAACCAAACCATAAGGTGTGTGGAAAGGGTTAACATTTCATATTTAGCCCTAAACGTCTGATCAGTTCTACACATGCAGGTCGCCTTAAAGTCATGGAAAATTCACTTTAGGTCATGAAAAAGTTTAGAAATTTTGTCAGTGAAGAAGAGTGGGCACCTTGTAATATAAAACTGGCATCGTGCGCTTCATTCGACTCGAGCCAAACACTATGGTTGACGTCACATTCACTTAGTCCACTTATTTATACAGTCGAAGGGACAGACTGACAAAAAAAAAGGCTACCAATCTGTGACATCGCTCTCTCTGTCCAACAGACACACACTACATTCATACCAGGCAATGTGGGTGAAGTGTCTTGTCTAAAGGCACAACATCAGAACTGGGTGTGCGAGGGATTCGATGCGTACAGCACCATTTTCTTTCAACAAATCAGGATTTTAAGCCTCCTCCTTAAGACAAATAATGACTCATGTATTCCCCCCCGAACGTGCGTCATCGTACAAGCTGCAGCAGGTATACAGGCCGTGACCTTCCAGAGGAAATACTTTCAGGACACGAAACATTTAATCACCAACTAAAACAGCAGAGTGGTGTAAGAACAAAGACTTTTTACTGTTGTGTTCACCTGGCGCCCCCTGGAGGCCGCTGTGATGCTGCAGGACACAGAGGAGGGACACTTTTGGCTCTTTCCTCTCCTCAAACTGCACTGACACAGATCTGCCGGTGCTCCCTGACCAGTCCTCCTGTTAAACTGCAGAGACCTTTGACTGAGACAGACATTTCCCTCTGGATCAATAAAATGAAGTACAGTATCTTTCTCTCTCCTCTCTATTCCTGGTCAAGACGCTTTACCTTCACTATGCCTCAATAGACCTTTGTGACAACGTCCATAAGTTCCACGATATAGGGTAAACGTAACTTACGTTTATGCTTTTCTGTGGCAAAATATCTGTGGAAATGTCTTGCGTATTTTCCACCAGCTTCATAAATCTGCCCCATCACCAAATCTTCAACCAACAAGTTCGACAAAGGATAAACTTTCTTCCATTTATCAAAGAATTTATCCCCAACTATCAAGGTAAGAAAGATGATAACGTAAAGGCGAACAACGACGAGCATGAATGAACTACTGAACAAAACTGGGAACGTACCTATGTGTTCCTTCATTTCTAAATTTTTTTTTTTTTTTTTTCCAAAATTAGGCCCTATGTTCACACATTTCCTTTATCATCAGTTTGCATCAGAATTTATCCCCATTTCTCCCAATTTGGTCGTCAATTACACCCGACAATTATCCAGCAGCAGTTGACTAGAGATGTAATGTAAAGGTCATGGTACAAAGGATCCTAGGTTGAAATGACTGAATCATCCCTTTAAATGCAGTATAAACATAAAAATGACTTGATTTAGAGTTTAATTTTGAGAAAAAAATCTTAGAAATAAGGGAACATAGGGAGGACCCCACAAAACTATTATGGTGTCCTAGTGATGTCTCGCATTCGAACTGCACAAATGCTAATATCGACATCATGAAATCGATTTTTTAAATTTTAATTCTAGAATCAGTCTGAGTTCACAAGTTACTTATGTTTTATTCATGACCATAATGTTAGTTTTGCTCAGTCGTTCATATATTTTAGTCTTTCTTACCTTGATAGTTGTGGATAAATTCTTCATGTTAGAATGTTTATCCTTTGTCGACCTTGTTGGATGAAGATTTGGTGATGGGGCAGATTTTTGAAGCTGGTGGAAAAATACACGAGACATTTCCACAGATATTTTGTCGTAGAAAAGCCGGGAGTGACGTTGTGAAAAAGATCTATTCATACAACAAAAATGAAAGCTATAAAACCCTAGAAATGGTTCATTTACAGTCAAAAAAAAAAAAAAAAAAAAAAAGGGGGAGGAAATTGACATGAAGATCTTTATTCGTGCTGAAAACAGGCAGGTTTGACAAACGTGGTCGGCGAAATGGAAATACAAACATGAGGTTCTGAAGTGGATCAAAAATCAACAAAAAACACAATGACATTCTGTACAGGAAGGCAGCAGGTCTCTCCAAAGTAAGGTAAGTGGGCGGGCATTTCAAAATAAGTCAGTGACAAGGTATTTTGAGGTCTACTGATGTGAGGCCTTCAAAATAAAAGCATGACATTTATTTTAAATGCACATTTTCCTCAGGAGCGACCCCACACATGCACAAAATAAAGCAAAACGTAATTGAGCAGAGACACAGGTTTGCGAAAACTGGGTAAACTTTCACCAAATGCCTTAAGTTAAAGGTGCACTGTGTAACTTTTTCTGGTGGAGGGTTGGCCACCTGCTTGTCTCCATGGAAATGTTATTGCTTTGTTGTATCCATCTTGCTTTTACTCAATAATTTTGAGGTGGTTTTGGGGGGTTTATTGTCCAAAAAAACTTGCATTCCTACTGTTATTAAGTTTAACTTGGCCCTGTGGCGTCAACTGCTGTTTCCATAGAGATAAACAAGTAATGCTATACTGTGGGACATTCTAGGCAACATCTCCATGGTGAGAAGCGAGTGACGAAACCTCCACCAGAAAAACTACACAGTGCATGTTTAATTTGAATACTTTAACCACATTTTCTGTCTTTTTTTTTTTTTTTCCAGTGATGTAAACTTCTAAAAGCCGGTTATTCTATGTTTAAAAAAAAAAAAAAAAGCAAAAATTTATAACACTAGTTTTAAAATTGTCTCAAGCAAAACCACTGACTGTAATACTAAGGTTTATACAGGCTTGGGACTGGCAACAACAGAGGCAACAAATGGCAAGGTGGTCCCATGTTTTATTCCCCTACAACTAATGTATTTTTCAAAATATAAGTCTCACTTTTTTCATGGTTTGGGTGTTTCCTGCGACACTCCGATGCGATTTATATATTAAAATTTTCACACTGACAGCCTCGAGAGGGCGCTCTAGTGTTGTGTGTCAGTATCTGCTGCTCCTGTTCCTCCTGTACCACTGTCACTTCGCTCTACTGCGCATGTCTCCTGCAGAAAGAGCCTCTGACCCGCTGCAAGTAGTGAAATATGCAGCCGAAAACAGTAATCGAGCAGCAGAAAGAAAGTTTGGAGTGAGCGAGAAACTTGTGAGGGACTGGCGGAAAGGGGGGATGGAGAACACAGCTTCACAACAACCGGGAGGGAGGGTGTGTACCATGAAACTTTCCTGGAGTCACTGGATGAATCAGCAAATCCTGGACTTCAGTGACACCGAAACCATCCTGTCGGGATTCAGAAAGACCGGAATAATTCTAACTGGAACTGATGATGAGTCTGACGACAGCTACACAGAAGAGGAAGCGGTGCTCTGTTTACCTCCAGAGTTGCTAAGAACTGACACCAAGGATGAACAATTCAACAGATTTAGTGATTTGGAGTGAGATGTAGAGTTTGTTAAACTTGTTCTGTTGTTTATGTTATAATTATCTGAAGAACTGTTCATATGTGACGTTAAGAGTCTGTTGTTCTCTGTTCTAATGTTTTTACTATAACCTGCTTTTCAAGATGAAATGTCAGTTCCTGGTCTCTGATTTTATAAAATAAATTTCCCCCCAAAAGTGAGACTTATAGCTTTGGCTGGTGCAACATATACTCCCGAGCAACTTATAGTCTGAAAAATACAGTACGTATTTGTAGACTTTGCATGTTTTGCCTGTGTCAGATTGTCCTATGAACAGAGGTGGGTAGTACTCATTAATAGTATGTTTACTTGAGTATCTTTTCAGAAATTGTACTTTTCTAGCTGCATACTTTTATTTCTACATTTCTGTTTATGTTTCTTGTACCGCTCCTTCAGATATTATTTAGTTCTTTTCAGTTTTCCTTTTGAAAACACCAGATTTTGTCTTTAAAATTACATTAACTTAAAATCATAAATCGGATGTTACACCCTGGTAGTTACTCTAAAGTCTTATTCGCACGGGATTAGTTTTACCTGTGGACTTTTGGTGATTTGTAATAATTGTGAAGGATGCCGACTGTGTAAAATAAAGATTTCACTGCAAATTACCTACTATATTTCGCCAAACACAGACGTCCGGTGATGACACTAGTCCCGTGCAAATCTCAGTGTTTGTTGTTGTAACTGTGCGCCTTTTCTATCTCTTTCTTTTCTCTACGCATTCTTTTCTCTTTCAATTTCAGTCAGTGTCAGTAAAATAGAGTAATTTCCGGACTTTGCAAATTACCAGACGTCCCCCAGGTTGTACTTATCCCATGCGAATAGGGCTTAGATTACTCTTACTTGAGCAATACTTCTCCCAAATACTTTTTTTTATCCTCACTTGAGTAATTTCTTGAGCTGCTACTTCTTTTTGACTAATATTATTCTGAAGTAACATTAATTTGAGGACAGTATTTGGCTACTATATCCACCTCCGACTACCTTGATTCATCCTTGCAGTGTCAGAATTTTTTCACTCGACAGTAGGCGGGTACTTTTTTAAAATTTAACCGGCTATTTGGTCGTGATGTATGTAACGCGCGAAATCTCGTAGGAAGAAGGACAATAACGTCTTTCCCCTTGATAAAATTCACCAAACATTCTCTTTGTTCCGACTTTAAATCCTTGATCTCGGGAATCGTTGCCAGCACAGAATGTCTCGTCTTCGTCTACGTCCATCTCGACCACTTTGTTTACTGTTGTGCTGAGTTTGACGCTTGAGTTTGACGTCATGGCCTCACAGCTCTTCTCTGATTGGCCGGTGCGTGGTCTAAAACTTCCAATTCCTGACCTGGTCGCTGGAGAGAAATGAAATTGAGCGGAGGCACTAGGCGGCACCAGCCTGACTAACCTCTGCCTATAAAACTGTCCAATTAAAGAATCAGACACGTTTTTCGGCTACCTTCAGCTAAAATTCTGGTGTGGTTTTAAAAATTATTGTTGCGTTTGGTGTTTTTATCCAAAATCTAGGTTTAAATCTGGTTCACAGCTCATTTCAGACAGTTCAAAACATCAACAGCGTTCAAAAGTACATGTAAATCTTTGATATGTTTGCCACTGATACTATTTATTTAAAGCAACACTGTGTAACTTTCTGGGCGGTGGAACATCACCTGCTGGATTTAACGGAAACAAAGTTAAAACCACACTTCGGAACATTCTCCACGGGGATAAAAATGCGTTACTGTGGAATTTTGTAGGGAAATAGAGACAGGTTTTGTGTAAGGATGCGAGTTTTTCAGTGCAATAGAAACATAAAAAACAACTACAACATTTTTTATTTTAGTCTTTTAGTTTTTTGGCTGAAAAGTTACACGGTGAGGCTTTAAAACTGCACTGGTTTGGGAAGAGAAAAGCAACAAGAAACAACATCACAACATGCTCCTGTCTGCGGAACTAAACATGAACAGATTTTGCAAACTGGTGAAAGTTTTCCCCCAAAAATCCAGCTTATAATTATAAATACAATTGTCATAAATACTGAAAAAAGTTCAAATAAACCTTAAAACATTTCCTGAACTGAATGTGGCGTAGGTTAGAGAGAGAAAGAGAGAGAGAGAGGACCATGTGACTGTTTGGGCCTCTCTGATTGGACGGTTCTGCTTTCACTTCTTCTTCTGCACTTCCTGGAGCAGCTTGAACGCCGCAGCGTTTTTGGGTTCAATTTTCAGCAAACTGTTCAGGTCGTCGATGCAGGATTTGAGATTCTGACACAAGAAAAGAAAGAATTGTTCAGTTTATGGTTGTAAGTATGTTTTAAATTTTCCACTATAGAGCAAAACCCCTGAGATTACAGAACATTATAAACACAAAGAAAATGCTACATTTTGTGTAATCCATTCATTTGTTTTTCAAAATAAAACCAAAAATAAGAAAACGAAATAAACAAAAATTTTCTTCATTATTTGTCTCCAAAACCAAATCAGGACTGAATCAGGAATAAACCAGGACTGAAACAGGTCTAAAACAGGTCTAAAACAGGTCTGGACCAGATCTGGACCAGGACAGAACAAGGACTAAAACAGGTCTAAAACAGGACTGAACCAGGACTGAACCAGGTCTTAACCAGGACTGAAACAGAACTAAAACAGGTCTAAACCAGATCTAATACAGATCTAAAACAGGTCTGAACCAGATCTGAACCAGGACAGAACCAGGACTAAAACAGGTCTAAAACAGAACTGAACAAGGACTAAAACAGGTCTAAAACAGGACTGAACCAGCTCTAAACCAGAACTGAACCAGGACAGAACCAGGACTAAAACAGGTTTAAACCAGAACTGAACTAGGACTAAACCAGGTCTTAACCAGGACTGAAACAGAACTAAAACAGGTCTAAACCAGATCTAAAACAGGTCTGAACCAGATCTGAACCAGGACAGAACCAGGACTAAAACAGGTCTAAAACAGAACTGAACAAGGACTAAAACAGGTCTAAAACAGGACTGAACCAGCTCTAAACCAGATCTGAACCAGGACAGAACTAGGACTAAAACAGGACAAAAACAGATCTAAAACAGGTCTAAACCAGATCTAATACAGATCTAAAATAGGTCTGAACCAGATCTGAACCAGGACAGAACCAGGACTAAAACAGGTCTAAAACAGAACTGAACAAGGACTAAAACAGGTCTAAAACAGAACTGAACCAGGACAGAACCAGGACTAAAACAGGTTTAAACCAGAACTGAACTAGGACTAAACCAGGTCTAAACCAGGTCTACATCGGTCTCAGTCCTGGTCTCAGTCCTAGTCTCAGTCCCGGTCTGGTCCTAGTCTCAGTCCTGATCACCCAACAGTCTATACAGGCGCACATCCGGGCCTATCCCAACCGTCCTGGTTCAGTTCTGGTTCAGTTCTGGTTTAGACCTGGTTTAGGCCTGATGTTGTCCTGGTTCAGTTCTGGCATCACAGTTTAAGTCACATAAACGGGAAACGGTTGTTATCCATTTTTTCCATTATTCATTAAAACACAAAAACAAATTATCGTTATCTGTTTTTTCATTTTGGTTTTGGAGACAAATCATGAAGAAAATAGTTGTTTTTTATTTTTTTTATTTTGAAAAACTAATGAACGTATGATACACAGATTTAGTGTGGCCCAAAATGAAGATTTCAAGCGATGTATGCGCCCCCTGCTGGCAACACTGGGGTACTAACATGCCTCAGAGTGAAGGTGATATGAGGCCTGCACTTGACTTCACCTCGCCTAGTTCAGTAAAATCCCTTTAACTCTATAATGTTCCTTTTCAAAGCAGCAATTTGAGATTTGAAAAACATTTTGAAAACATTTTGTTGGTTGAAAATAATCAGGAAATAAATGTGTGTTTGATGACGAGACACAATTAGAACTGTGACACCGACCTGTAGTTTTCTGGGACTCTATTAGCTTTTGGGTGTCAATTTTTTTTTCTACAGCCTCAGCCTAGATACTAAAACTAAAATAATACTGAAAATAAAACACATGGACAACACTGAACTTTTCCTGTGTAGTTTAAGAATACTGATCAATTATTTTAGAACTAAATACAAAAATATGCTTTAAAGTGTTTTGTGGTAATGAAATAAAGTCAGAGTCTGCACTGTCGGTACATTTTAGTGCTACAAGATTTTCAGAAGTTCTAAACTGGGACACACTCGGGTTGGGATGATTGGTATAAATAAAATTGTGAAAAGAAAGTGTAACACTGTGCATTCTTGTGTCAGACATAATCTGAGGGGATTTTGTTGCTGCATTTTTTTTGTTTTATTTTCATTTGCAAACACGGATTTTTGTATTTTGGCAAAACAAGAGACAATTTATGCTCCTCTTTACTGTTGGCAGAGATCAGATTAGTCAAAAATTGTGACCGATCTGTTTTAGTTCTGGTTTAGACCTGACGTTCTCCTGGTTTAGACCTGGTTTAGACCTGGTTTAGACCTGGTTTAGACCTGATGTAGTCCTGGTTTAGACCTGATGTAGTCCTGGTTTAGACCTGATGTAGTCCTGGTTTAGACCTGATGTAGTCCTGGTTTAGACCTGATGTAGTCCTGGTTTAGACCTGATGTAGTCCTGTTTAGACCTAGTTTTAGACCTAGTTTAGACCTAGTTTAGACCTGATGTAGTCCTAGTTTAGTCCTGGTTTAGACCTGATGTTGTCCTGGTTTAGTCCTAGTTTAGTCCTGATTGAGACCTGATGCTGTCCTGGTTTAGTTCTAGTTTAGTCCTGGTGTAGACCTGATGTTGTCCTGGTTTAGTCCTGGTGTAGACCTGATGCTGTCCTGGTTTAGTTCTAGTTTAGTCCTGGTTTAGACCTAGTTTAGACCTGGTTTAGTCCTAGTTTAATCTTAGTTTAGTCCTAGTTTAATCTTAGTTTAGTCCTGGTTTAGACCTGATGTAGTCCTGGTTTAGACCTGATGTAGTCCTGGTTTAGACCTGATGTAGTCCTGGTTTAGACCTGATGTAGTCCTGGTTTAGACCTGATGTAGTCCTGGTTTAGTCCTGGTTTAGACCTGATGTTGTCCTGGTTTAGTCCTAGTTTAGTCCTGATTGAGACCTGATGCTGTCCTGGTTTAGTTCTAGTTTAGTCCTGGTTTAGACCTGATGTTGTCCTGGTTTAGTCCAAGTTTAATCCTAGTTTAGACTTAGTTTAGATCAAATTGGTCAAAATAGGGATACCTGAGACATTTCTTATATCAAACTGGGACAAATCAGTGGTTTATGATCAATCTGTTGGGACAGGGGACACAGGACTCAAAACTGGGCCTGTCCCGGGTAAACAGGGACTTCTGGTCTTCTTATACTGACCTGTAGTTCTTTGTGCGCCTGGGCCCGTCTGTACAGGGCCTTGATGTTGGACGAGTCCATGCTTAAGGCCTGGTCACAGTCTCTCACGGCGTCTCTGTTCTGCTTCACCGACAGATAACACAGGGCTCTACGGGAAAAAAAAAACAAACAAAAATATTAATAAAGCTCCAGAAGATACACAGACAGATGGAGAGAGAGCAGCACTGTAATATATGTTATAGCGCCACCTGTTGGTATATGTAGTGACTTCATTGGGGTTGAGTTTGATGCTCTGGGTGTATTTGTCGATGGCCTTTTTGTGCTCGCCCTTCTTCACCAGAGCGTTCCCCTCCTCCTTCAGGGTCAGAGCCTTCTTCTTGTCTTTCTCACTTGGACCTGCACACAAGTCAGTGTTAGTCAGTATGTGTATATGGTATTTAACATGGCATTTGATTGATAGTTGCATTTATCAACCAAGTTGTTAAATCTCTTGACCCTACAGTGTAAAAACAAGAATATATTAGGTGTTTTTTGGTCGAAATGGTGACGTTTTTATTCGTTTTGGCCCTTCGTCCACACGGAGAAATCTGAGAACGCCGGCGTTGCGTTGTCATGTGGACAAGCAAACTGCAGCTTTTGGAAAACGGTAACATTGTGACCCCGTCATTGCCACGTGATCAGAAGAGAACCTTCATGCGCGGGGTTCTTTGTAGTATTGTGTGTCCAGGTGGCTCTAGCTGTATCCTGTTTGCAGCACCACATACAGGGGTGGCAGATGTATTACGCTGTTTTCACTCCGTGCTCCATATTTATTGATCCGACCCGCAAAAAAAAAAAAAAAAAATCCAGAGTGTTGTCATGTGGACGTTATGCGTCACCTAGTGACTCCGCTCAGTTTCATTTCTCTCCAGCGACTAGGTCAGGAATCAGAATACACTAGACAGTTCGCAAAAACCCCGGAAGTGCGAGTTCGGGCACCGGTCAATCAGTGAAGAGCCATATGTTTTGTGATGTCAACGATTCCCAAGATTGAGGATTTAAAGCCGGAACAAAGAGAAAGTTTGGTGAATTCTATCAAGTGGAAAGACGTTATTGCCCTTCTTCCAACGGGATTTGGGAAAAGATTAATATACTGTATTTTCCGGGCTATTAGACGCGCTCTTAAGCCTCCAACCCCATCAAAAAACGACTGCGCGCCCCACAATCCAGAGCGCCCCATACACGAATCCACTCGGGTGTCCTAGCACGACTTCAGTAAACTACAAAGCCGCACCACCTGCAGAACACGCAAACACGCACGGAGCAGACAGCGACCGAGCGGCGAAACACACCCGCAGCCACACTCTTCACTCCACGTGGACGAGGAACGGAATAGAGGAACGAACTGAAAAAGCGAGTGCCGTGTGCCTTTCTGAGCCACAACTGAACAACTGAGTCACTGCGAACACGCCGACAATCCAGAGGTCCCAGACAGCACCCTCCCTACACGCCACAACTGAACAAAGCCCAGAGTCACCGTGAACGCCACAAACAAACAAAACCACTCACCCATCACACTGTTGTGTTTCCTTTAAAGTCCGGTGCGGTTTATTTGTGAAAAAAGTTCGAAAATAGACCATTTAATGACAGTGCGTTTTATAATCCAGAGCGCCTAATAGTGCGGAAAATACAGTACAAGTTACCCCCTTAGTGGCGCATTACATACGTCACGACCAAATAGTAGCGATTGGTTAAATAAAAAAGTACCCACCTACAGTCGACCGAACGAATCCTAACAGACGGTTTCTACGAAGTGAAACCGGCTGATGAATCAGACTATGTGGACAAAGCCTTAATACATAAAATTACTTGCATCAGGTAAGTTACATTTAAAGGACTCGCTCATATTACACTATTTTCTATGTAATAATGTTGTTTCCTCATCACAGACAGACATGTTTAACACACAAACCCTGCAGATTTAGGCTGAGTTCTTTCTTTCTCTCAAACTGAAAACACTCTGTTGTGCCTTGTGATGTCATGTGAGAATACAGGAAGTGCTCCACTGTGTTTTTAAACTCCACACACCTTCACTTGAATCATTTGGATAATTTCAGCCCTGGAATTGCCGATCTTTACTGAAGTTAAGGTAAAATGTCGCTGTTAACTTGAAAACTACTGATTCAAGATGATCACAAGAGCATTTTGAGCTTTGGAGATGTAGACAGACTCATAAACCAGGGTTACTCAAACATGTGAATGAAACAAAACACAACTCCAGGTCTGTTTTTAATGAGGTAACAACATTATAAAAAGGGTTAAAGCTCACAAGAGGGATTTTTGTATAATATAGGAACCTTTATGTCTGTGTAATCCCTCAGTCGTTGAAGTATGATCATTAACAAAAGAAAAATGCAATTCTGTCCACTGTCAACATAAAGGCATCTGAAGGGCAATAATCATAATATTAATGTGAATAATAAAAAATGCACTGTAATTATATCCAAATCTCCAATTTTTTTTGTTCTTGTAGACGTAATACTGTGAGTTGTATTGTTTTGTTAAAGGGCCGGTACCTGGTCTCAAACCATGAGTCAGAAACATGTTTTAGTTTGAACTCCAGGCACCGTGACTCAACCGTCTGGGATAGTGTCAGGCAGTGGTTTCCTTTATAATTATCTCATCTCTGCCTACCTTTTGTAATTTTGTCACTCCTGGAAATGTACCATGACCAAGAATTGTGTCAGCTGGGTCGTTTTTTTGTTTTTTGTTTTTTTTTCTTACCAGGATTGTTGGTCTTTTTGTTGTTTTGTTGAGGAGAGGCAGGTTGCTGGTTCAGTTTCTCCCTCACAGACAGAGGCACAGTGGGGATGGGAGGCAGTTTCTCTCTCCATGAAGGCCCGTCTGCTTCTGTCAAGGCTTTGGTCATCCTGAGGCACAAAGGAAATATTTATTGTTAAGTTTTATTTGAAATTCCATAAACACGAATTAACTGTGTCCACAAATACGAGGTAAAAGTGTTCAAAGCAAATACAGCTTTTACTGATAACAAATACAGAAACACTGGACATGAGATACAGAAATACATACAGAAAATTAGAAAAACTTAAAGGTAAAGGCACCGAGAAAGGTCCAATTGTGATTGTAATAGCTTTTTTAAATTGTCATAGTGCAGCCAACATACAGTTCCTTTACTTTAAAAAGTACATTTACAGGAATGTCTTCTCCGTGTGTCTCCTGATTGTGAACTGCTCATCCAGGTGACAATAAAGCCTCCCTTTGGGGCGTTCTGAGCACATGTATACCACTCCTATAGGATGTAATACAGTGATGCATATAGCCTTTCACAGTGTCTATGGAATATTCTTCTAGAGCAGAGGATGTAGAGGTGAAGATTGAGAAGAGGATACAGAGGTTGCAGAGGGAGGGTCAGAGGATGCAGAGGAGAGGGACAGAGGATGCAGGGGAGAGAGACAGGAGAGAGACAGAGGAGAGACAGAGGAGCAGAGGATGCAGAGGAAAGAGACAGAGGAGCAGAGGATGCAGAGGAGAGGGACAGAGGAGTAAAGGATGCAGAAGAGGGGGACAGAGGGTCAGAGGTTGCAGAGGGAGAGATAAAGGATGCAGAGGAGACGGACAGAGGATGAAGAGGAGAGAGACAGAGGGTCAGAGGTTGCAGAGGGAGGGACAGAGGAGCAGAGGAGAGGGACAGAGGAGCAGAGGACAGGGACAGAGGATGCAGAGGAGAGGGACAGAGGATGCAGAGGAGAGGGACAGAGGATGCAGAGGAGAGGGACAGAGGATGCAGAGCAGAGGAGAGGGACAGAGGAGCAGAGGATGAGGGACAGAGGAGCAGAGGAGAGGGACAGAGGAGCAGAGGAGAGGGACAGAGGAGCAGAGGATGTAAATTAAGCAAAGTAAAGCTAAACTAAAGCTCTACAGACAGTGCACCTGGTGTTCTGAGGTACGTCCCGCCTCTTCTCCAGCTCCTGCTTTGACATCAACATGCCAATAAAGTTTGAGTATTTTAAATAAAGCTCCTGTATTTTGATTTTGAACACAGGAGGAGCGAGTCTGTGCGCTGTGGGGGGAGTAGGGGATGATAACGGAAAAATAAGCTGAATTCTTTGCACTTGGGACTGACTATATATATGCTGATATTTTCACCATATGTCTCAGATCTAATGGCACCAAGAATAAAAAACTAAAATATTTTACTTGAAGCACACAGCGCCCTCCTCTGGCACAAGGGGAGACTGCACACAGAGCCACTCCTCTGAACAAACAGCCTGCACTCAGCTCTAGAATCACCTCCGAACGGGAAAACTCTGTGTACAAACATCCAGGTGCTTCCCATCTGAGGAGAAATCTGTCGGAACCTGCACGTTTTGTAAAGGGATTAAAAGTGAAAATGCCTGTCTGACCTGTTGGTGCCATCGTGAGCCGCTGCGATGTTACAGTCCACCTGCAGGGCGGTTTTGTAGTCCACATAGGCCAGTCTGTACCGCTCCAGGCCCTCGTAGGCTGCAGCGCGACGCAGCAGAGACTTCACATTAAATGGGTACAGCTCCAGAGATCTGCCGGACACAAAGCAGCACAATTTAATCACAGGAGAACAACACAAAGAATGAGAGCGCTTCTTTTTTGGATTTAGATGTATTAATTTTCACTTGGTAATATAAAGCATAACACAGTGCACAAAATATCAAAAACTTCTTAGAATAAAAATAGATGTATTATATTCCGGAGAGAAGTTTTAAGAGTGAAATCTTGTCTTACGTGGTGCAGTCTTTAACACATTCGGAGCAGTTGCCGTCTTTCAAATAACTTGCTGCGCGGTTTGAATACAGAATCCCTAAATCTTCTGGGTTTTTCTGAGCTGGGAACAAGAGAAAAACACAAAGAGTTCACTGAAACCATTGCAGAAACACAATATTATACAGTACTCAAATGTTACATCTGCCAAAAAAGGTATATGATAAGAACTGCAGTTTGACATTAATTATTAATTAATACTACTACTGATACTCCCCACACTTCACAGCAACTTGTACTTTTACTTTCTGTTGCTACTTCTACAATGATGATTCTTCTAAAGTACAATTATTTACATTTCTCCTTGAGAATTTTTAAGTAAAAATACAATTTTCGTAAACATTTCCAAGCAATTGTTGATGTAATTTCTCAAAAATATAAATATTAAAGTCTCACCAGCCTTCTCGAGCTCTTTGATGGCCTGGTTGTAGAAGTTGGTAGCCTCTCCGTACTGTCCCGTCTTAAAGCACTCGTTTCCAGACTGCTTCAGAGCGGACCACGACTGCGACTTACTTTTAGGAGCCATCTTTAAAACTATCTGCAAAGAGAGAAGACAAATGGTCAATTCATATACAGTTAGTTTTAGACATTCCTTGAATTTGCATGCATGCAAAAGAATACCTACATTAAGAGTCAGCTGAAAGAAAAGCAAAATGTTACATAAGCCATCTTCGATTTTTCAGAGACTATTATGAAATGGTGGGTTTTAAGTCGCACACGATAATAATATGAAGTATGATGATTCTGAATTCACATATTTACATCTACAAGTTTGGTTGCATTTTCACGATACTAAAATTTCAAACAGAATTTCCATACTACGGAAGAGAAACATACTCAACATTAAATAATAGTAAAAAATGACGATATTGGAGTGCTGCACTGGATCAAAACTGACAAACACAGGTGCTCATCAGACCAGGGGGCTTGAATTCTTAAAGAGAAGTGTGTACAATCACCAAGTCGTCCAGGTAGAATCCATGGCAAAAGGTGAAATTCAATTTGTCAGTACGTTTCGCAGCTCATCCAAGCTGCTTTTTCTTCAGACCTGAAGAAGCAGCTTGGAAAGTATTCGACCAAAAAATAAACTTTTGTCCGGTTGACAAATTGAATTTCTCCTTTTGCCATGGATTGTATCTGGATGACTGAGGGATTGTACACACATCTGATCTGCAGTGTGTTTATTTGTCTAATAAACAAATAAGTACACTGCAAATCAAAGTGGCTCTGCCATCCTTTTTCTTCTCTATTAAATAATAGTACTTTCTTTTATGTTATCATGTGGTCTTATATCTGTGCAACTCCTCAGTGGTCCAGGTAAATTCCATAGTGGTTCACGGGCGTCGACTAGTCTATGTGTAGTTCTGATACAGCTCTAGATCATTCTAAAGCTTCAGTAAAGGTTAATTTCTGTCCTGTGAATGTGACTTTTTTTAATATTGATACCTTTACAGTATCTAGTTTCAATATTTTTGACAACCCTACTTACAAGGTGATCAGCACACCTAAACCAAACTATATGATTAATACAACAACACAACACGATGCAATTTAATGTTTTAGATATAAAAATGTACATTCTCTGCACAATTACAACTTTTGCTGTAGTCATTAGGTTATTCTTTAGTTATAACTTGACTATAGACATTAGCTACTTGGTAAGAAGCATAGATTAGAATGACATAATGGCTAAAACAATAAAATTATTTCGTTCCAAAGCCTCACATAGCAACTGTTTAATGGAGCAGGTCTCATATTACAAACCACAACACAACAAAAGCTCCAAATAATCACCCAAATTATAATTATAAACAATTTACATTTTAAACCACTCGAATCTAATTTAGTTACGCGAATTAATTTTGCAAAGTAGCCAATATAGGTCGGCTATAAAACATTAAAATGACACAAAATAATGTTACCAGTGAGTTTTTTGTTGCTGTCTTGAAGCTTATTTGCTAACTTATGCTAAACGGAAGTAGCGAGTAGCCGGGTGTTGTGCCCAATTCTGCACCCCTTTTGAATATTTTTATGAAGTTTCGAGAGAAAAACGAAACTGAAACACATTTACGACCACGTATTAATTAGTCATTGAGCTGCATGTTAGAAAATGGAGTTTAAAATGCGGTAAAGGGAGTCGAAAGTAGCTAAAACGTCAAATTCTAACCTGAGAAAACCGGTGAGGGATACACATTTTAGCGCAACACCGGCTAACTCACGCTGCCGATGCTAATGCTAAACTACATGCTTCTTACCGGCGTCTGGAGGAAAGTCTCTGCGGGAAAACTCTTCTTATCTTCGGCTATCAGCTCCTGGATCTACCCGTGAACCCTGGACCCGGCGTTATGTTGTAATCACTGACATAACTTGGTGTTTTTCGGTTTAAATATACGCCCCGACCCACGCCGAGGTGCTGTGCTGCGCTCTGCCCGGAGAGGGGTCCTGTGGTGGGGGGTGGGAGTGTGGAAGTCGCCCGGCGCCTCTGGTAAGTTCTCCGCTGCCCAAAAAGGGAGTGAAGGGCCGGACTTGTTCTGGGGATCGCTTTCGTTTCGGCTTCGTGATGACGATGATGATGGCTCTAGCGTCTGGAGAAAAGCGCCCTCTTGTGGTTTAATGCGAGTACAACCATCAAAAATAATCAAAAAATACGAATCAGTTCTAAACCAGGACTACATCAGGTCTAAACTAAGACTAAACCAGGACTAAACTAAGACTAAACCAGGACTGCATCAGGTCTAAACTAAGACTAAACCAGGACCAAACTAAGACTAAACCAGGACTACATCAGGTCTAAACTAAGACTAAACCAGGACTAAACTAAGACTAAACCAGGACTGCATCAGGTCTAAGCCAAGATTGAAACAGGACTATACTGTGTCTAAACTAGGACTAAACCAGGACTACATCAGGTCTAAAACAGGACTAAACTAGGACTAAACCAGGACTACATCAGGTCTAAATCAGGTAAAACTAAACTAGGACTAAACCAGGACTACATCAGGTCTAAATCAGGTAAAACTAAACTAGGACTAAACCAGGACTACATCAGGTCTAAATCAGGATTAAAACAGGACTAAACTAAGACTAAACAAGGACTACATCAAGTCTAAAACAGGACAAAACTAAGACTAAACCAGGACAACATCCGGTCTAAACCAGATCTAACCTAAGACTAAACCAGGACTGCATCAGTTCTAAACCAGGACTAAAACAGGACTAAACTGTGTCTAAACTAAGACTAAACCAGGACTATATCAGGTCTAAACCAGGACTAAAACAGGACTAAACTAAGACTAAACCAGGACTGCATCAGTTCTAAACCAGGACTAAAACAGGACTAAACTTTGACTAAACCAGGTTTGAGACTAAACCAGGACAACATCAGGCCTAAAGCAGGACTAAAAGAGGACTAAACTAAGACTAAATCAGGACTACATCAGGTCTAAACCAGGAATAATACAGGACTAAACTAAAACTAAACCAGGATTAAGACTAAACCAGGAAAACATCAGACCTAAACCAGGACTAAAACAGGACTAAACTAAGACTAAACCAAGACTAAACCAGGACTAAAACAGGAGGGGCCGGACTTGTTTGGGGGATCGCTTTCGTTTCAGCTTCGCGATGATGATGATGATGGCTCTAGCGTCTGGAGAAAAGCGCCCTCTTGTGGTTTAATGCGAGTACAACCATCAAAAATAATCAAAAAATACGAATCAGTTCTAAACCAGGACTACATCAGGTCTAAACCAAGATTAAAACGGGACTAAACTGTGTCTAAACTAGGACTAAACCAGGACTACATCAGGTCTAAACCAGGACCAAAACAGGACTAAACTAAGACTAAACAAGGACTACATCAGGTCTAAAACAGGACTAAACTAAGACTAAACAAGGACTACATCAGGTCTAAAACAGGACTAAACTAAGACTAAACAAGGACTACATCAGGTCTAAAACAGGACTAAACCAGGACTACATCAGGTCTAAACCAGGACTAAACTAAGACAAAACCAGGACTAATACTAAACCAAGACTACATCAGGTCTAAACTAAGACTAAACCAGGACTAAGCTAAGACTAAACCAGGACTAAAACAGGACTAAACTATGACTAAACCAGGACTAAAACAGGACTAAACTATGACTAAACCAGTCTCTGTCTCTGTCCGCTCGTTTCTGGGCGGAAAAGGTTTGACCTGGGCGCAGCGCAGAGGGTTTAAATCCACCTGGTGCTAATATGAACTGGTGTAACATTCAGATTTAAGTGAGAAGACTACAAGCAGCTCGTGCACTCGGCTCCCGGACCTCGTGTCACGGACCTGACTGGACCAGGACTTGGACCAGTTTGATCTCGTCATATTGGACAATAATGCAGAACCAGCAGGACAGTGGACAGAGGATGCACTCCGCTTCAGTCTTTGGAGAAGGACTAACTGCAATAAAAAGGTTTATAAATGTTCACCAAGCTCGGGTCAATGAACTGGAACACAATGACTCAGAATTCTATGAAATGAATGGTACATTTGTGGGAATTAAATGATGACTTTCCAAACATGAATGATATAAGGACGGTACAGGACCTGCCATAAAATACTCAAACATGCACATTTAAACAAGTGCAATACAAAAAGTGGAAATGTGTCATCAAAGGTTTCAAATGGGATGAAAATCTACTTGGAAAATAAATATCATCAAAAAAATCAACTCATCTGTCCTGGAAATATAAAACCGTACGCAAATGTATCCAACTGTACAATGGTCATGATGTTTCCCTCAAGTCCTAAAACCTCTAATCTTTCTTTTTATTCTTCACCTTGTGTCGTTTCAAAACAAAATCTGAATGCTGAGGATTTTAATGGTTCAGATTTGGGCCTAAACTGGTCCAAATGTTTCATATTCTAAACACTTTTATGGAGACTGTGTGGTCTCTGTTGGGTTGATCTGGTCTAAATGTGGACTAGATTTTAATGTTTAATTTCCACAGGTGGCACTTGGTTTTGGGTTCTTGTGTTGCGTTTGAGGTGGTTGGTAATAATAAAACTGAAACAAGTGCATAATTAAGGAAATTGTTATGCACTCAGAGCACCTTGCTGGAAGAGTTTACCTGAACTCTTTGTTTTGGGTTGAACGTCCGTCAGTTTTCCCTCCAAAGACCCAAAGGTGAATATAAAACTGTTTGCTGAAATACAGTAGTATTTTGTAATTTTGTTTCTAACTTTTTCCTTTGTGTTTGCAGGTTTGGGTGGTGTCCTCTAACTCTTCTACAGGTGTCACTTTGTTATTATCATTGTTTATTATCATTGTTAATTAGTTCATAGTTTATCTATGATAATTTTACTTCGTGTCTTGCAACTGTGAGACATGAAAATCATCTGCCGCAACTGCAGCAGATGTTAGTTTATTTTATTTGAAAACAGCTAAAGGTAAAACATGTCTGTCATGTTACTGACTAACCCTTTAGTTTTCAGGTTTTAGGTTGGTGTCTAACCCTTTTACAGCAGCTCTGTGACATCTACTACTGCTATATAACCTAAAGAGTGCTTCTGACCAGTGAAAATGAACCTTTGCCTCCATCTGAAGTCAAAAAGGACTCAAGAACTAAGAAGAAGAAGAAGAATGGAAAATCTTACATCAGAGGCCATGCTCCAAAATATGGAATGAAAGAATTGATCCAGAGCACCTTGCTGGAAGGAAAACTCTGTGTTTTGGGTTGGGTTGGGTTGGGCTTCAGTCAGCTTCCCCCCAAAGACCCAAAGGTGAGTATAAAACTGTTTTACTGAAATAAACTAGTCTTTCAGAAACATTTAAGTGAAACCATGCTTTGTTGAAAACTTCTAAGATAGTTTTAGTTGTGTTCTCCCAAGATAAAACACTTCTTGTATTTTGTTTCTGTTTCCTTTGTGTTTGCAGGTTTGGGTCGTGTCCTCTAACTCTTCTACAGGTATCAGTTTTATTATTATCATCATTGTTTATTTGTTCATAGTTAAACTAAGCTAAATTTACTTCGTGTCTTACAACTGTGAGACATGAAAATCATCTGCCGCAACTGCAGCAGATGTTAGTTTATTTTATTTGAAAACAGCTAAAGCTAAAATGTGTTGACTGTCATGTTACTAACTCTTCAGTTTTCAGGTTGGAGAAACCCACATCTTTTAAAACCCCGATCATCTGGAATAATCTTAAGGTACAGTATATTTTGGTAATCCCTTTTGAGGGAAATTCTCCCTCTGTTGATGATGAATGGGTCAAATGCAAAGTGCTGCTGGGGCAGCCTGTCAGGAGCAGTGAGCTGCTGCCATACACCTGTGCAGATTCTGCACACAAAGGAACCTTCTTGCTGTGAGTGAGTGCTCAGCCACTCATCTTGACTTGGGTTTTGGTCCAAGGGTTGAGGCCCTTGTGTTCTGTCACTTTTTTGTGGTCTGAATGTAATAGTTCTGACCCTTTGACCTTGGGTTTGTGACCCACATCATCTTACAGGGATCTTTCCCTGCTGCAGGTTTCACTGGTTCATGGAGACTTTAACTCAGGTCGGTGACTTTAACTCAGGTCTGGTGACTTTAACTCAGGTAGGTGACTTTAACTCAGGTAGGTGACTTTAACTCAGGTAGGTGACTTTAACTCAGGTAGGTGACTTTAACTCAGGTCGGTGACGTTTCTGTGTGAATCATCATCTCAAAACGAGGCCTGAATATGCTGAGGATTTGATGTTACAGGCTTTAGTTTAGGGCGTAAACTGGTCCAAAAGTGGGCCATATTTAAATGTTGACTCACTTTTATGGAGACTGCTGGTCTCTTTTGGTCTGATCTGGTCTAAATGTGGGCCAGATTAAATGTTTACACCATAATTTCCACAGGTTGCACTTGGGCTTGGGCTCTTGTGTGTTTTTGGTGTGTGCCTGGACTGGTCTAAATATGGTCCAGATTTAAACAGGCTGGTAAAACATGTTATGGTTGGGTGAAACTGAAATTTCTTATTGTAAACTGACACTTGAACAGTTTCAGTTGGTTTTAAAAAGGTCTGAAAACTGATTTGAGTCTTGGATTGTTTAAAGATGTGTTTTGTATTTGGTTTGGTCTGAACTGGTCTGAACTGGTCTAAACGTGGGCCAGATTTGGACTGGTTTATAGAGTCTGATGGCTCTGGTCCAAACCCTAATCCAACTCTTCCACAGGTTTGCACAGGGTCTGTTCGTTTTAACCGGTTTGAAATACGTTGACATTTCTGTTTTAACATTATTTTAACTTTACAGGGTTAAAGGTTAAATCTCATATTACTGTTGCCTTTGTGTTTGTTGTAAAATTGTTTTGGGCTTGTCTTATTTTTGACAGTTCTAACCCTAACTCTTCTGACTCTTCTCATTGCAGATCTAAACTGTTTTACTAAACTTTTAAACTAGTCTTCACAGGTCCAGAGGCTGCTGCTGTTTACTGTGAGTATGTCTGCACGCACTTACTAACACACTAACTCTGTACGAACACGGGCGGTGGGTCTAATCCAGCCACAGGGGGCGCTGTGTGTGTCCCTCTGTGCCAGTCCCCAGCCTGGATAAATGGAGAGGGTTGCTTTGGCGTAAAACCTGCCTCTTTTAGCCCGATCTTAAAGTGTGTATGGAAGGTTTTTCTAATTATTTTTACTTTGTTTGGTGATATTTACTTGTGGTGAATATTTATCACAGATTTACATCAGTTTTGTGTTAGTTTCTGGGCAAAAGTTGAAAAGAAAAGCACAAAAATCAACGACGTAGTGTTTCTAAAAAGGAATATGTCTATGTTAAAACTTTCAAATGCAGAGATAATTGAACTATTGTGTAATTTAGGCAAGTCTTGACCCCTTTATCACAGTATGGTTGCTGGGTAAAAGTTATGAAATTGGCTCTGTATCTACTGTCCGTGTTCAACCAGGAAATAAAATGAGTAGAAATCTTAATAAATATAATTTCTAACATGCCATATGCACTTTAATATATCGACTGTACCAACTTAAATCTGTCTTTTATCTTGTAGCTTTAATAAGTTATTTTTATAGGTTTGATTTAGTCAGTCATGACCAAAATGCCTCCTGCTGCTAGAATAAAAAGTAAATCAGTAAATATTGTAATGTTGAATAAAATGTGTAATGTGTGTAGAATTTAGAAAGAAAAAAAAAACATCTCAAAATTATGAAATGTGGGGAAATCTGACGGCTGTGCTATACTTTTGAATTTTTGACTTTTGACTGAGTTTTGCAGAGGAAAACTTCAGAACATGGTCCCTCGTGGCGCCCAGAGCAGTGGCGCCATCTGCTGGAGAAGAAATACAAGAACCAGACCTCCGGATTCACAATATTCAAACACTGAACAAACAGAAATCCGTGGTTACAAAGTACATTGCTTTTTTTTTTTTTTTTTTTGCCCGTAAATTGGCCTTTTTTTGAAGACTGTGACCAGATTTGTGATTTATTGAAATTTCAGATAAATTGAAGTTGCCTTTGATTTCAGTTTTGAGTCTCAGTCCCTTTTATTTTTAAATAAGTTGAAAATGACAGAACGAAGCTTTTCTTTACTAAGTCCTACTCTAAGTGTCTCTCTCTCGCTCTTTCTCTTTCACTGTTCTTTGGTTGTTTGATTTTTTTCCTTAAATGTCATCACCATTTGTTTGGCATGTATTTGAGTTTTTCAAATTCAATGTTTTCCAATGATGAAATTTCTGAGTTGCCACTAAATGTTTGCATTTTAACACATTTCATGAAAAGTGTCAAAATGAGGTAATTGTGTGTAACAGTCATTGTCGCGCTGCCACACTATTGGTCTATATATTTTCCTGCTTTTTTTTTGTCCTTAGCCAATCACATCCCTGATTTATTACGACAAACTACAACATGTAGACGCAAAACAATCCGCGTGTCATTCGTTAATTTGTTTTTCAATATAAAACCCAAAAGTAAGAAAATGAAAAAAAACAACAACAGTTTTCTTCATTATTTGTCTCCAAGACCAAAATGAAAAACAAAAACAAAAAAACAGATAATTTGTTTTTTCAGTTTTCGATTTTGTGTTTAAATAATGGAAAAAACGGATAACATTTTCGTGACTGCAGTGTCGGACTTTTGCATTGCATACGGACTGAACCACGACTGATCCAGGTCCGGGATCAGACCGGAACTGAGACCAGACTGAGACCAGACTGAGACCAGACTGAGACCAGACCGGGACCAGGCCGAGACTGAGATCAGAACTGAGACCGGGACCAAAGCGGGACTGAGACCGGGACTGAGACCGGGACCAGGCCGGGACCAGACCTGAGGCTCGGAGTCAAAGCTCAGAGTCCGCTCTGGTCCCGGTCTCGGTCCCGGTCTCTGTCCCGATCTGGTCCCGTCCTGGTTCAGTCCGTATGCTGTGCAAAATTCCGGCATCGCAGTCATGGAAGTCACGTAAACGTTATCTGTTTTTTCCATTCTTCATTTAAACACAAAATCGAAAACCGAAAAATCAAATCATTATCTGTTTTTTCATTCTTATTTTTGGTTTTATATTGAAAAACTAATGAACGAATGACACACGGAGTTAATACATCACGTAGAGTCGGTTAATACGAACATTTAAGACCAAAATGATGAGCCTGACAGCAGCAGTCACAGAGAGAGGAGTGACAATTTTTCAGTGTAAAGTGAATTGGTGCCAGAGTCGACGGAGCTGGAAGCACGCCCGTGTTCACTTCCTATTTGTAAGGCGGCGACTAGTGGTTTAGCTTTGTCCATTTATATTTACAGTCTATGCTTCAACCTGAACAGAACTGAGAGAAATAGAAAACAAAGAGTGATTTTTCCATCTTTTATTAGTGAAAAATAAAAGCACATAGATCTGTTTTATACACTCAATATAATGCGATTTAAAGTGACAGTATTTTCAGCAGTTGATTTCAGGTTATGATTTTGTTTCGCTGTTTTACTTCTACGTCGTACTAACAGCTAAAACACAGAATATTTCAATTATCCAGGTAATACAGAGCAGAGGAGTGGGTATGATTGTGGATTTGTGACGATTGCTGGATTAGAATCTGAAGAAAATGCTGTCTTTCACCGGGATGCCGAGGGTGCTCTTGATGTCCCTGAACATAGAACAGTCAAAGTCCGCCACCAAAGTCTTCACTCCGGATTGATAGGGGTAAAAACACACGTTCACAATCACTTTGCTCTTCGGACTAATTTCAGGCAGGCTGGAAAGACAAACACACAAATATAAAAGGGTTACAAAAGGTATTAAAGAACATGATGATGATTTTATAATACATGCATCCTGAATTTTGGACTTCCGGTCATTACGCAATACATACTGGGAAGGGTTTTACGAAAAAGTGAGCATCAAACCGCTATGTTTGATTTCCCAGTGGGATGCGTCTATTGTCAAAGTCGATCTTTTCAAGTCTTTTGAACCATGTCGCTTTTGTTTCTGGTTCTGATATTGTCATATTTTAGTTTTGAGATTCGGACATTGTAATTGTGTGGTTGTTGGATCCTAACAGCGGAAAATGGCTTGAGAAACAGGCTTCAGAAGTTTGCAAACTCCATTAATGCAAAAGGGAATCAGATCTGTGTGACTGCAAACCTCCGTTCAAAACTGTTTCTCTTCTCAACGAAATTGAAAAATAGTGAAAGGTGAAGGCGATGGGCAGGATTGATCCACAGGAAGGATGAAAAAGGAAACCGTGGGCTGTCATCCCGCGTTTGCAGCGAACATTTTGTATGTGGAGCGCCATCAAAGCAAAATCTCAATCCCTCGCTCAATCTTTGGTTACGAATTTAAAAAGTCAACGCCAAAGTGAAAGGCACCAGCTGTTCACCAAGAAACACCTTCCACTGCAAAGTGACCAAGACGTGATGTTGCTGTAAAACCACAAGAACAAGAAAGTGCAGCTCAGTCTGTTAAGCGAGAGGTGCAGAAAACAAACAAACGGGATTTTGCTTTGATGGCACTAAAACATACAAAATGTTCTCTGCAAACTCGGGATGATTTCTTAAGCAGCCAAAGGTTTCCTTTTTCATCCTTCCTGTGGATCAATCCTGCCCATCGCCTTCACCTTTCACTATTTTTCAATTTCGTTGAGAAGAGAAACAGTTTGAACAGAGGTTTGCAGTCACACACATCTGATTCCCCTTTTGCAGTTAAGGAGTTCACAAACTTCCGAAGCCTGTTTTCCACTGTTAGGATCCAACAACCACACAATTACAATGTCTGAATCCCAAAACTAAAATATGACAATATCAGAACCAGAAACAAAAGCGATATGGTTCAAAAGACTTGAAAAGATCGACTTTGTCAATAGACGCATCCCACTGGGAAAACAATTATGGTGGTTTGATGCTCACTTTTTGGGAAAATCCTTCCCAGTATGCATTGCGCGATGACCGGATGTCCGAGATTCGTGATGCATGTATACACACAATACTTATTACAAAAATGGTGGAAATTGTGTTTAGAAAAGATCTCCCTCGCTGAAAATGAATGCGTGTGGATATTAAAGGTCCGCCATCGTCTTATTTCTAAGAATATGTCATTGCGATGCTTCGAATGTGCGACAATATGACATTAAACAGCTCTACTTTACATTTATTCAATTACAGGTGGTTTTATAGCTCAAAAATACCTAGAAAAACTGGTATTCTGACTGTGAGCGGGGTCACCTCTCCACAGATCTGACCTGTAACTCGGTCTGGTTTGGTCTCCATGATGATAGAAAGGTTTAATACCATCCTGTGAAACATTTTAGATAAACCATGTCCTTTGTTTGTATTGTAAAAATTAAATATTATCTGGATCGTTTCAGCCCTGGAATTGCCGATTTCTACTGAACTAAAGGTAAAAAGTGTTTGTTAGCTTGAAAACTACCTCTTCATGACATCACAAGTTGGAACGGAGCATTTTGAGCTTTGGAGATGTCGACAGACTAATAATAAAGTGTTACTCGAACACATGTGAATGAAACTAAACACAACTCTAAGCGTGTTTTTGAGAAGGTAACAACATTCTAACATGACTTAAAGCTCAGAAGAGTCGATTTTGTGAAGTATAGGAACTTAAAGGGAAAAAATTGACAAGAACTTGGATGTAGTATTTATGTCAAATGCTTTTCTCCGTGGAGATGTTATTGCGTTGTCTGGAATGTTTCACAGTATGGCATTAAACCTTTCTATCTTCATGGAGACCAAACCAGACCTCACACTCACACTAGGACTTTAGAACAGTGCCCAAGCACAGATCGCCCCTAAAACGTGGTACATTTGTCCAGTGTGAGAGCAAACGAACTTAGAACCTAAAGCTCGTTTGGGACTTTGGTCCGGTTGGAGGAGGTGGGTCAAAGCACGACACGGCTGCTCATGTACACACACACACACACACAACTTTACTATATGAGCTGTGTGTGTGCGCTGATGTCACTCATATGAGGAAAACATGAATTTTGTAGCCTCTCATCTCCGTCTGTCATCACTGCTCCACGCGCCCTAAGACCTACAGGTTAGATCTGTGGAGAGGCGACCCCACTCACAGTCAAAATATCAGTTTTTCTAAGTATTTTTGAGCTGTAAAACCACCTGTAATTGAATAAAGGTAAGGTTTATTGTTTAATGTCATACTGTGGAACATTCCAGACAGAGCAATGACACATCCTTAGAAAAAAGCAGGTAACAGAATGCGGCAAGAAAGTTACACAGTTTTTCGTGAGAGGGATCATTATACTGACCTGACGTGCTGCTCCTCTCTCCACAGACCGCTCCCGGACAGAGTGAGGCTGCAGTCCTTCAGAGTCTCACCCACAGGGTTCACGAAGGAAACCTGCAGGACGACCTCACGAAACACTCGAGGTTCATTCAGCAACTGCACACACACAGTTACACAGATTTACTCTATTTAAGTAGTGACTATTTGTCAAAGAAAAGTAAAAAACCAAAGCTTTGAGCAAACGCAGAACTAAACATAACTCAATTAATCACTTTCGGGCACCATGTGTATGTGGTTTACGCAGTGAAGGGAAAAACAAAATAAGCGTCCATGACCAGAGCTGTATTTACAAGATTTCTTCCAGTTTTTCCAAGCAAACAACAAGGGATATGTTGATGTGATATCCTCAAATGTACTACAGTAATATACAGTACAATACAGTAAAACAGAGGGAACTACATAGAACATGATCCTTCCATTTCAGTACAAACGATACAGCAATATTAGTGCATTTTTAAATCTGAATTCTTTCTATTCTGACCGTTTCTTTCTATTGTAAGATTTTATGTTATTAGGTTATTTTTTCAGACCAAGAGTTTGTTTTCATCCCTAACAGTTTCGACTGCTCACTAGTGGTCTTTGCTTGAAAAAAGAACCTCATAACATAAATTATCGGAAGACTAATTGAGCGTCATTGCACTAAAATCTTGTCAAGACATTTAAAAAGAAAAAAAAAAAGCATTTCTACAACTCATAAATACTCTTCTATAAATATGCTGTCACTTTTTAAGTACAATTTAGTTTAAAAGGCATATAAATTGCAAAAATCTAAGCTTTATTTGGTCCTTTTTAGTTTAAAGACTTGAAATGACTTGAAGCTCAAAGCAGACGACTTGGACTTGCCTTGGACTTATGGGCCAGTGACTCGAGACTCGACTTGGACTTGGAGAATCAAATCAATAACAACAACTACAGCCTTTTACAATCTAAAAAACATAGCAAAAATCAAAGAGATATGACGGAAAAGTTTTTATTCTCTCTCATTTAATGTCTCTTTTTAATTTTATGATGATAATTTATGTTTTGATTTGTTTGTATTGTGATTTTAATGTATTTCTTATTCTGTAAAACACTTGTACGAATTGTGCTGTACAGATAAACTTGGATCTACACATTTGCCGTCAGTGAGTCAGTTTGTGCACACGTCTCATTACTGGGGGGACGTACCTTGATCTCTAGGGGCGGATCGATCAGCACCAGGTCGGTCTCTGCCAGGAACACCTGATCTGGGGCGTTGGTGTCTGACACCACAGCGGAGATCTTCATCACGTCGCTGTTCAGCATGGGCTGCCAGTACTCAGAGAAAGATACTACTGCAGGGATAATCAGGTCTGCAGGAGAGAGGAAAAGTACTTTTACTGCACAGATACACGGACAAGTATAAAGTAGTGTTGTTTTTTAATTATTACGACAAGAATGTAAGAATGAAACTTTACTTTTATGTAGCCAGCACTTATTTGCACTTTTACAATGACTTATATAATTAAACGAGCTACTACTGTGATTGAAACTAGATTCATCTGAGCAGGTACAACAGCCCACAGACTAGTATACGCCCATAGACCTGGTTTAGACCTGGTTTAGACCTGGTTTAGACCTGGTTTAGACCTGGTTTAGACCTGGACCACTGAGGGATTACACAGATTTTAGGTCACTTTTGAATATAAAATGTATTTATTATTTTATTTAGGTGGTACTGGAAAAGGTATTGAGTATTGAGGCTATACCTTAATATCGGAATTGAGTTAGAATTTTAGTAACTACAACAACTACTACTACTGCTACTGCTGAAACTACAACTACTACAACTACAAACTACTACTACGACTAATAATACTAATACTACTGAAACTACAACTAATACAACTACAAACTACTGCAAACTTCTACTACGATTAATAATACTAATACTACTGAAACTACAACTACTACAACTACAAACTACTACTACGACTAATAATACTAATACTACGGAAACTACAACTAGAAACTACTATTACTACTACGAGTACAACTACTACTACTACTATGACAACTACGACAACTACTACTACTACTACAACTATTACTACAACAAGACTACTACTACCACCACAACAACAACTACTACTACTACTACTACAACTACTACTACTATTACTACAACAAGACAACAACAACAAGTACTAGTACTAGTACTAGTACTAGTACTAGTACTAGTACTAGTACTAGTACTACTACTAGTACTACTACTACTGCTACTACTACAAGTACTACTACTACTGCTACTACAACTACTACTACTACTGGTGCTGAAACTACAATTACTATGATTACAACTACTACTACTACTACTACTACTACTGACTACTACTACTACGACGACGACGACTACTACTACTACAACTGCAAGTACTAGTACAACTACTACAACTACTACTAGTACAACTACACCCCCACTTTTTGTATATTTTTCTATTATGATTTCTCTAATGTTACATGTTCCATTTTATAAGAATGTAAACTTTACTTGCTCAAAATAAATACATAGATAAAACTACAACCCCTCCTCCTCCTCTTGCTGTACCTTCTCCGGGTGGCAGAGTCTCCTTCCTTGAGCTCGGACTGGATGGTGGACAGAGGAGATCCGTTGTAGCTCATGGCGATCACGCTCACGTTGACGGCCAGAATTCTGGGCACGAGACCATCACTGTGCAGCACCAGGTTCACCTTCACATCCTCACCGTTCAGCGGTTTAGACACCTGCAAAACACACCATAATAATAATAACCATCCATGGTCATCCTATGAAATTTGGCATCCGCTATACATATATTTTATTTGTTTTTATGTTTTGCCTAATTTTACAGATGTATTGTACAGTCTTGGTTGCATTTGTCGAAGTCTGGGTAGATATTGTGTGTGCACATTTATGTCGCGCTGCCTTTAATGTAATGTGTTTGCTTGTTGAATGGATGTAGCACTGATGTAGTTCTGCTTCTGTTTTAATTTGTAGTTTCACAAGAAGATACAGTAACCCGAAAAGAAGATCGATCCTTTGGTCTACAGATACGTCTTCTGCATGTTTGTTGAGATTCTGTTGACACTAACTAAAATTCTACTTTTCATACAAGAGGAAGGACAGTCTAAATAAAAATATATAAATAAATAAAAAATATATGAATAATAAATAAATAAACAAACAAACAAATAATAATAATAATAATAATCAATAGGTTCTATCAAAAGTTTTTTTTTTTTTTTTTTTGTTTTTGCACATATTCAGATTTTTGTATCTACAGCCACAATATATTTATACAATTTATTATTATTATTATACAATAGTGGTGATTTTATTTAATTTTTTAAATATATATAAAAAAAAAACAAAAGAAAACAAACTAAACAAAAAATATATAAATATTAGTACGTACAGCAGCTACAGTGCGCCCTCTAGTGGCCTTTAGTACACCTACACTTACACACTACTGCAGATTTATTATAGGCTTTTTGCGATTGCAAATTTTGAAGTAGGAGTAGGATTACTGACGAAAATATAGACGATAAACACTAATACTGAAACTAATTTATTGCACTGACACAATAACAATAAAGCAGAATTATCCCAGTAAATATTTTTAAATGTAAAGTGTCATTAAAAGCCCCGAGCTTCAAAACAAAAACAGCAGAATGAACCAATAATTAATCATAAAAGTTACTTATTAAACCCTCTTCAGCTCAAATCTTACTATAGTACACAAAAAATGGCAAAAGTCTCACCATTATTGCAATGAAAATGTGCAAAATATACTGTTGCATTGATCACATACAGTATTGAACAGTAAGCTGATGTAGTAATTATCGTGACAGGCCTATAGGTGGCGCTGTTGGATCTTAAACGTACCACAGATAAAATAAATACGAGTACAAAGCAATGGGTAAGGAGAATTTTGCGCAATATATCTTCTCATACCTTTTGTAATATTAAATAAACAACAGGCGTTGGGATTCAAATAAAAATTACAGACACACCTTTGAAAAGGTCGACTTATTCACACGAACTCAGTGGCCTCTGACTTTCTACCCACACACTTTCAGCACTGCCAAGTCAAGTCAAAAATGACTTGGAATTCATCATGAGAATTCCAGGTCTGGGCAGAGGTGGATGAAGTAAACAATTTTATTACTTAATTAAAAGTACAAACACACCAGCAATAAAATTACTCAACTAAAAGTGAAAGTGTCACATGAAAACATCGAAGTAAATGTATTAAAATGTGCTTCAAGAGTAAAAAGTAAAAGTATTTTGCAAGGGTTTAGAACAATTAAAGGATGAAATTTGTGATTTTGAATAAGAATTAATCAAATTTTAAGTGATCCAGTTTATTTCTTAACCTTTTTAGCTGTTTTTGTGTATTTGGTTTGCTCAAATTTGGGACGTTAACTCAAATTAAAAGTGCTGAAAATAAGTCTTGGTCATTTCAGCAGCTTTCAAACTATAAATAAAAGTAGGTTTTACTTTTCTGGTGTAGAAAGTACAGACATATGTTCTCAAATATAGTGAAGTAAAAGTAAAAAGCAGTGTTGGAGACTTGAAAGTCGTGACTTGGACTCGAGTCAGACTTGAGTCACTATTTTTAGGACTTGAGACTTGATTTGATAAAATGGACTGAGACTTGGGACTCGACTTGGACTTGAAGGTCAATGACTTGGGACTTTGACTTGGACTTGAGCCTTGAGACTTGAGAAGACCTGATGCTTCGACTAGCTGACAAATTCACTGTTATTAAGCGCTCTTAAATCTGAACTCTTTCTATTCTGACTGTAATAATTTTCACGTCAAGACATTTAAAAAGGAAAAATTAACATTTCTCCAACTCTTATATAAATACTCGTATATAAACATGCCAATTTTTAAAGTACAGTTTAGTTTAAAATTCATATAAATTGCAAAAATCAAAGCTATTCTCGGTTCTTTGGTTTAAAGACTTGAAATGACTTGAAGCTCAAAGCAAGACGACTTGGACTTGACTTGGACTTATGGGCCAGAGACTTGCTTGTATTTGACTTGGGACTCGACTCGGACTTGAGGTCAAAGACTTGAGACTTACTTGAATCTTGCAAAACAACGACTTAAGTAAAATAAAGATACTTAAAAACTGTACTTAATGGTGCATTGTGTAACTTTTCTGGTGGAGGGTGAAATACTTTTGTAAACTTTCACAGTAGGTATTGTACAATATTTCTATCTTCATGGAGACCAAATCAGACCAAGTTACAGGTCAGATCTGTGGAGAGGTGACCCCACAAAGTAAGAAATTGATTAGTTGCTATGAATATACTTTTACTTCATTAAATCTGAAAGCAGGTATCTGTACTTTCTACTCCACTACATTTTTGAACAAGACTGAAAAGTAAAAAGTGTTTTTCATATGATTTTCCAGATTATTTTGACCACGTTTGGGGTAATATTCTGACTAAACTTTTTAATTCAAGCTTCAACTTTGAGGAAACAAAAATAAACACACAAAATTCATAAGAAAAAGTTGCCATGAATATATGCATATGTTTTTTACACTGGTACTTAAATACTTTTGCTTAAAGGTGCATTGAGTAACTTTTCTGGTGGAGGGTCTGTCAAAGGCTTTTCAAAACCAAACCAAACCAAGTTACAGGTCAGATCTGTGGAGAGGCGACCCCGCTCACAGTCAGAATGTCTGTGAATGTTTTTCTAGGTATTTTTGAGCTGTAAAACCACCTGTAATTGAATGCACCCTTAAGTGGAATATTATGTAGCTGTACTTTACTTAAATACATTTTACAGTCTATACTTTTTACGTTTACTTCATTAAATGTGAAAGCAGATATCTGTACTTTCTACTTCACTACATTTTTTATTTTGCAGGTTAATTTGACCATGTTTGGAGTAATATCCTTACTAAACATTTTAATTCAAGCTTCAGCTGTGAGGAAACAAAAATAAACACACAAAATTCATGAGAAAATGTAAGAAACTGATTAGTTGCTACAAATATATGTATCTTTTTTTTTTTTTTTTTTTACACTGGTACTTAAATACTTTTGCATTGAGTAACTTTTCTGGTGAAGGGTTCATCAAATGCTTTTCAAAACCAAACCAGACCAAGTTACAGGTCAGATCTGTGGAGAGGCGACCCCGCTCACAGTCAGAATGCCGGTTTTTCTAGGTATTTTTGAGCTATAAAACCACCTGTAACTGAATAAATGTAAAGTAGAGCTGTTTAATGTCACACTGTGGAACATTCAGCATCTGACAGACCCTCCACCAGAAAAGCTACACAGTGCACCTTTAAGTGTTGTTTTCTTTTTTGCACTTGATTACCTTCCAGCACTGCTCAGCTGTCATCTCCTGCCTACATACATTCATCCTTGCCAAGTCACGCCAAAAGATATTTGCAAATTGCCATGAACATTCCAGACCTGGGCGTGTGACGAATACATAAAAATGTCATAGAAAACACACAGAGGTAACATAAGGTGAAGCTGGTTTCACTTTTGCATAACACTGTAGAATTCCTAGAAGTTACATATATATATCGTTGACACGGAATGGTATGTAGGAATGTCAGGTGTTCGGTTTAATAGATAATTTCGTATGTTATGTGATAATAGCTCTGTTTAAAGTTTACTGCACATGACTCTACACTGCCCACTTGTGGTGCAGTTACAGTAAACCTAAATGTAACTCTAAATGTTTTGGTAACGCCTGAGCAGAGCAGTGTCAGGTTCACTTCTAAAATCTAAAGCTTGGCCAAATTTAAGATATAAACACTCAAATCTATCAGAAAATTGACTTAAAAGTAGTGGAATGATCTGTCCACGCAGCAAGATCATTTTACTTGACAAGATATCTTAAAATAAATGACCTCTAGACTAGAATCAAGCAGTCTCTGGTCTAATGACTAGATAATAAATCTGAAAACAAGATGAATAACAAGATATAAGTTTTAAAATCTTTGCCAGATCAGAGAAATGTGTCAGTGTCTATGAACTATAGGCCTTTATTTTTTTTATGTTTTTAAATATTCTTTATCAGGGGTGTCAAACGCAAATTCACAGAGAGACAAAATTAAAAACTGGGACTAAGTCGTGAGCCAAGCTAAATATTTATTGACGAATTTCAACAACATCTGCATGTTTTCTCTTCTTTCGGGATATGTAATGTTAAGCATTTTCTTATTAAAATTAATGTTTAATAATAGTTTTGCTTAAACATTGAATCCAGAACAAGCATAAAATAAAATAATAACAATATTTTAACTAAATTATGTCTCTATAGTCTATCTGTGTGCGGCGGGCAGCTCTAATACAGATTTGATATGATCTCATGGGACAAATATAATTATACCAGGGGCTAAATTTGACCCCCGGGTCTGAGTTTGACACGTCTGCTCTATATGGACCCCAAAGTCTGAAATAAAGATGATTGATTGATTAATTGAATTGTGATTATTCAGGTTGCAGTGTCATGAGAATTTAAATAATAATAATGATCAGTCTATATTATATACTCCAAAAATAACACCTAAATTCTTATTGAAACAAAGTCTGTCAGTGGTGCGGCTGTAATGTTAATAATACAGAGTAATCACTGCACTCTGACCGTTCTTTTCATTCTGTTTGGTTTCATTCCTAATGGATTTCATGGCATAGCAATGTCCCTAGTACAGACTAATAATAAATGGACGATTTTATTATTATTGTTTGACAAAAAGCTTTCATCAGATCAAACGTAATTTAAAAATGAAAAAAATGTGTTTTTTTCACTTTTGGATTGCTGTTCCTTGCATTTGGTAGCCAGGCTGGTGCCACCTAGTGCCTCTGCTCAATTTAATTTCTCTCCAGCGACTAGGTCAGGAATCGGAATACACTAAACAGTTCGCAAAAACCCCGGAAGTGTGAGTCCGGGCACCAATCAGAGAAGAGTTAGACATTCTGTGTTGGCAACGATTCGCGAGATCGAGGATTTAAAGCCAGAACAAAAAGAATGTTTGGTGAATTTTATCAAGAGGAAAGACTTTATTGCCCTTCTTCCTATGGGATTTGGGAAAAACTTAATATACCAGTTTGCACCGTTAGCAGCCGTTACACACGTCATGACCAAACAGCAGTGATTGGTTAAATAAAAAAAGTACCCGCTTACCATCAACTGAACAAATTCTAATGCTGCGAGGTCGGACAGTTTCCACAAAGTGAAACTGACTAATGAATCAATCTCCTACATTTGCACCTCTGCCAGAACTTTGGTGTGCTTGTTTCAGTTTCATTTGATATTTTTGAGGAGATAACAGCATTATAACATGGCTTAAAGGTGCACTGTGTAACCTTTTGGTTGGGGGTCTGTCACCTGCTTGTTTCTATGGAGATGTCATTACTCTGCCTGGAATGTTCCACAGTATGACATTAAACAGCTTGCACGTTAAATGTTTTAAATGACAGGTTTTATAGCTCAAAAATACCTTCTGACTGTTTCTCCACAGATCTTACTTGGTCTGGTTTGGATTCCATGAAGACAGAAAGGTTTAATACCGTACTGTGGAACATTCCAGACAAAGCAATAACATTTCCATGGAGAAAAGCTACACAATACACCTTTAAAGTGTAATACAGCACCTTTAAAAAGTAGTGACTGAAGCTTTCTAAACAGAGAAAATTCACAAACTCTCACCTCTTGGAATTTCATGGTGATTTGTGGACGTGGAGGTAGAGGTGGAGGACAGACAGTGATGTTGTCTCTTCCATTCTCGACGATGCTACTGGAGGACCCGTGCCCAGTCCCGTTCACCAGGGGCCCGTTCAGACCCCCTCCGTTCACAGTTGTGGTGCTGCGTTCAGACGGGGTTTGGCGATCTGGGGTGGGCTCTTGGGACTCTTCTTCCTCGTCTTCCTCTTCCTTGTCAACTTTGGAATAATCTCTGGTCAAGGCGTATGTAAAGACAGCTCGCTCCTCTTCACTTCCTGTAAAACAAATCATTGATAAAAAGTTAGAAAAAGAAGATGAAAATGTAGATGACAAAGAGTTAAAGCATATATATGTAGCAATGAGGGTCAAAAAGAAAATATTGGTTTGGGTTTGAAGCTGCGATCAGACCGTGGTGTCAAGGTGTCCACAAAGTCGCAAAGTCTATATGGATGCACATTTAGGTTGTTTTCAGGCATCAGAGCAGCAAGAATCTGACGTCAACGTGGCGTGTCTTGAGCGTTCAGGCATCAACGCTCTGGTCCAGGGTGTCGGTGTCAGAAGTTGAAAAAGTAGAAGTTTTGGTGTCGAATGCACCACGTCAGGGATTACTGTATTTTTCAGACAATAAGTCGCTCTAGAGTATAAGTCGCACCAGCCCAAAAATGTATTTTTTAAAATCAGAGACCAGGAACCGACATTTCATCTCGAAAGGCAAATTATAGTAATAATAATAGAACAGAGAACAACAGACTGTTTAGGCGTCTGGTCTGTTAACGTAACATATTAAGAGTTATTCAGATAACTAAAGCAACAGAACATAAGTTTACCAAACTCTCAATCCTAAAACTAAATCCATTGAATCTATTGAATCTTCATCCTCAGTGCCACTTCTAAGCAACTCCGCGCAACTTCGGTTGTCACTGAAGCCCAGGCATACCGCACCCTCCCAGTTGCCGTGAAGTTGTGTTCTCCATTCCCGCTTTCCTTCAGTTCCTCACAAGTTTCTTGTTCACTCCAAACTTTCTTTCTGTTGCTCGATTACAGTTTTCTGCTGCATATTTCACTACTTGCAGCAGGACAGCAGCTTTTTCTGCAGTAGACATGCGCAGAAAACTGACACATGAGCCTAGAGCGCCCTCTCGTGGCTGTCAGTCTGAAACTTTTAATATACAAGTCGCACCGGAGTATAAGTGGCAGGAAATACCCAAACCATGAAAAAAAGTGTGACTTATAGTCCAAAAAATACAGTACTATCCAGTGATGTTGCGACGTCATTATCCAGAAGATAAGCAAATCTGTTATTACACCAGACTGTCGATGTAAATGTCTGTGTTGACTGAATAATGTCTGAAATAAAACTAACCTTGCATCGCATGAATCGTCGCATGTTGAGGGACTATTTTCTCAGCAGCAGCGGAATTTTACTTTGCTGATAAGATAGGTGCTAGGTGATATCAGTCCACTGCTGCCGATCTTTCTATCATGAAGTACAACTCGCTGCTGCTGCTCAGACATAAATCCTTCAAATGCAAGGCTGGCTTTACTTCTAAACATTATTCTATCAACACAGACATTTACATCGACAGTCTGGTGTAATAATGGATTTGCTTTGGGTGCCAGACTAAATAACAGGTCAGATCTGTGTAGAGGCAACCAAACTATAGTTATTTGTGTGCTATAAATCCACCTGTAATTTAATAAATACAACATATCATACTGTGGGACATTCCAGGCAGAGGTACGACATATCCATAGAAACAAGCAGACGACGGACCCCCAAACCAAAAAGTTACGTAGTGCGCCTTTAATGCTCCTGACCTTCTGCGTGCTTGTAGTTGCTGGTGATGTTCAAGCGTTTGTCGGAGCCCACAGACTTGGTGGAGATGTTCTGACCCACTCGTTTTGAATCTGAGAAAATCTTCACCTTGGACCCGTCCCTTTTTACCTAATCACAAAAAACACAAACATTAACACAGATAAATAAATATGTGCATAAATGATAAATAAAAATACATTCAAATACTGAATCTAGTTTTCTTCTTCCTGCTTCTTTTCGAGAGGTTTTCTTTTCTGTTGTTTACAATATGTATGTAGTATGTATATGATTATTTTTTCTCTCTTGGCACAAACTCGAAATAAAAACGAATCAAACAGTCAGGTGTATTTCGTACCAGCCAGTCGACACAGTCTGCGTTGACCTCCGCAAACACAAATGGGACGTTGTATTTCAGATCTGTGTCTCCATTTAGAACGGCTTTGACTGGGGCGGGACCACACCAAAACACTCCTGATAAAACACAGAAAAGACACATAAACAAACATCATTTTCAATTTTTGGACTAAATTGTATGTGGAAATTGTAAATAAAGTTTCATGTAGATCTAGTTATAAGTGGAGTACTTTTTGGTCACTCCATCCATAAAGTTTGTAAGCTTGTTTTAGTTTCAAAATCTTTTATCACATTTGCTCTAGTCTGATCAAAACAAATCAATATTAAAGGTCCTGTATTACACAAAACTGACTCTTGTGAGCTTTAAAGCAAAGTTAGATTGTTGTTACCTCTACAAAAACATATCTGGAGTTGTAATCTTGACAGAATTCAACGTTGCCCTTACTGAAAAATGTAAAAGAACAAAACAAAAAAGGCTGCCCAACCTTTTTTGTTCTGTTCTTTTTCCTCTAGTCACGTGATATGGTCACATGATTGATAATTAATTGTATTTAATGGCCCCTCTGTGTCCCGTTCTAGCATTATGCCCTGACTAAGACCATCTTGCTGGTCGAAATGCGTCCATAAAGGATTTTTAATATGTTCAGTCGGAGTGCCTCGGGTTTGTACCTTGCCCACTTTTACATTTTTCAGTAAGGGCAACATTCTGTCAAGATTACAACTCCAGATATGTTTTTGTAGAGGTAACAACAAACTAACATTGCTTTAAAGCTCACAAGAGTCAGTTTTGTGTAATACAGGACCTTTAATATTGATTTGTATTGATCAGACCTCTTTTCGTCGTCTGATACCTGGAGTTGTGTTTTGTTTCACTATAACATAGATCAGAAAATGGTGTAATATGGGCCCTTTAAAGTGCAGATGACAGGTTAGACTCATGTCACTAAAACATTGTAGTCCCAAGTTTGACCATTCTGGTGAAGTTCATCATTTTACTTCCTGGTTGGACTCGGGCAGCAGATATGACACACACAGAGGTAATTTAACCCAATATGTAGCAGCCACACTGCAAACAAGCGCCCAAACGCAGCCTTCAGTCCCTGTTTCTCTCACACAGATTAGATTGAAATACCTTCAGATCTCTCCTGAGGGGTCGGGTCCAGCACCTGCCACCCGTCGTATCCAGGACGAAGATCAGGTCTCTTCATCCAGCCCTCCACCCACACATGGTAGTTCCTGTAAGTGCAGAACAAAGAACTAGATTATTCTTGAATCTTGTCAAAAGTATGTAAACCTACTCCGTAATAGCCAATGTCGGGATAGTAAATAAATACACATATCAAAAATACATGTTCTGAATACCATGTATCAGAATATGTTATAAAATACACTTTTCTGCAGGTATTCACTATTCTGTAACTAAATACATGTTCAAAGTATTCTCCCCGTCATAAAGTCAGAATCCTTACCACACACTGTCCTTAGAGGGCATGTCCCGGACCCCATAGTCGGGGTGGTACACGTCTATGAGCAGGTTTCTGTCGTTGTCGTGGGCAGACTGGTAGTTTGTGATCACACGACACGGGATCCCGAAGAAACGCATCACTGCAAACACACAAGGACATTACACTAATATTAGATTTTATTCAATACATTCTTTCTGAAATACACTGAAAAAAAATCATTATTATTTACACTGTTACAAATATAATATGCACTTTCCCCTAATTATGATTTAAAGGCATTGTACCTGATTTTTGTGGTCTTAAAAATGTCAAAAATGTAATTTGTTTATTTGAAACGGTGGTCCAAAGTGATTCCTCGCGTACTTTATGCCGTCAGAGCATCCTAATAATTCACCATGATGAGTTTGTAAGAGCGTTTCACAACTTTCAGAGGCCAGAGCGAGGTTTACTGCAATGGTAAAGCTAGCGACAAACAGCATTCTAACCGTGCACTTCCTGAGTCTCGGATAAAACAAACGCTCCATAATTAGCCAGCCGACTCAAGAGCTGCTACAGTTTATCTGTACTGGGGCATTTTGCTCAAGTACATGGGAAAAATTGGGTACAGGTTTTTAAAAGTTTCATGGTGTAACTTTTCTGATGTTATTTCTTTTCCTAGATTGTTCAGCAGAATGGCACTGAGTCATCTCCATGGAGACAAGCAGCTGAACACACTAGGCCGGGTTACAGGTGCAATCTGTGGAGAGGCAACTTCGCTCACAGTAAGAATTTCATCCATCCTTTTTCTTCCGCTTATCCGGGGCTGGGTCGCGGGGGCAGCAGTCCAAGCAGGGATTCCTAGAATTCCTTCACCCCAGACACTTCTTCCAGCTCCTCCAGGGGGACCCCGAGGTGTTCCCAGGCCAGCTGAGAGACATAGTCCCTCCAGTGTGTCCTGAGTCTTCCCCGGGGCCTCCTTCCAGTGGGACATGCCCGGAACACCTCCCGAGAGAAGCGTCCAGGAGGCATCCAGAACAGATGCCCGAACCACCTCAACTGCTCCTCTCGATGTGGAGGAGCAGTGACTCTAATCCAAGCTCCTCTCATGTGACTGAGCTCCTCACCCTATGTCTAAGGGAGCGCTCAGCCACCCTGCAGAGGAATCTCTTTTCGATCACTTGTATCCGCGATCTTGTCCTTTCGGTCATTACCCAGAGCTCATGACCATAGGTGAGGGGAGGAACGTAGACTGACCAGTAAATCGAGAGCTTTGCCTTTTGACTCAGCTCCCTCTTCACCACAATGGTCCAATACAGCGAATGCATCTTTTAACAATCAGTTAAAAACAGTTTAATGCCATACTGTGGAATAATCCAGGCAAAAAAACAAAAAAAAACCAAAAACAAAACATCGACACAAACAGGTGATGTATCTGTGTCCAGGAAAATATTATACAATAGAATGAAAACAGGCAAATAATGTAGTTCTAATAACAAAATACATGTCAAATGCACTAAAATTAAGATAATATTCCAGTCATTTTTAACAAATCATAATTAAAAACACTGTCTTTAGGTAATAGAATGTAATTTTTGGAAAGCTGAATTAAATGGTAGTACTTTCTTTTATATTCCCATGTGGTCTTATATCTGTGTACATAGTTGTCCAGGTAGGTTCCATAATGGTCCATGGTGTATCAGAACAAGTATGTGCTCTTATACTTGTTCTGATACAGTTCAAGATTATTCTAAAGCTTCAGGAAGAGTTCATTTCTGTCCTGTGAATGTAACTTTTTCAGTGTCAATACCTGCTCAAATGAGAATCTAGTTTCAGGGCTAGTTTCGGCATCTGATTTCCGATACTTCTGATGAGCCCTCGTCCTCACCTGAGCACATCACTCCACCGAAGACCCAGCACTGTCCGAACTTGACAGGGTAACAGTTGATAGTGAGCCAGCGAAGGAGGATGGGATAGGAGCCGCTCCAGTGAGACGGGGGCGTGCCTCCGGTAAAGTTGTCACCCCAACGGCCCATCAGCACGCCGCGGTCATCCTCACTGTTTATCTGCAAACAAATACAGGATTACAAGAGGAGTAAGTGACCAATGCTAATCACAAATACTAATCAAGCTGTTGTACATATGTATGATGCAGCCTTTGTATTTGTTTTTGTAGAAATCATAAAATGGAGTATGTCTGACATTTAAACAGTTAACTCAGATTTCCTTTAGGGTGTAAAAACAGCTATTATAATTATATCTAGTTTGAGCAGAAACACCACACTCTCAGTCCTGGTCTGGTCCCAGTCTCAGTGTCAGTTTCAGTCCTGGTCCTGTTCTTGTCTCAGTCCTGGTCTCAGTTCTGGTCTGGTCCCAGTCTCAGGCCTGGTGTCAGGCCTGGTCTCAGTCCTGGTCCTGATCTGATCCTGGTCTAAGTCCTGGTCCTGGTCCCTGGACTCAGTCTTGGACTGGTCCTGGTCTAAGTCCTGGTCTCAGTCCCAGTCTGGTTCCAAACCAAAGTTCGGCATCGCAGTTTAAGTCACGGAAACGGGAATCAGCCGTGGTTCGTTTTTTCCATTATTCATTTAAACACAAAATCAAAAACTGAAAAAATTAATCGTTATCTGTTTTTTCATTTTGGTTTTAGAGACAAATAATGAAGAAAATAGTAATGTTTGGTTTTATATTAAAAAACTATTGAATGAATGATAGTTTAGGTTGTTGTTAATAATAAAAATTGTGATACGAGTGCGTAATTAAGGAAACTGCCCGTTCCTGATGAACATGAGTCAGTATACTCACATCTTTGTGTTTTTGTCATTTTTTTGGGTCAACATTTTTGTATTTTACTTAAACAAATGACAATTTATGCCTCGTTTTACTGTTGGCAGGAATCAAACTGGTCTAAAATTGGGACACTTGGGACAATTCTTGTATAAAACTGGGACAAATCACTGGTTTTGTATAAATCTGCTGGGACAGGGGACACAGGGCTCAAAACTGGGACTGTCCCAGGGAAACAGGGACATCTTTTCACCCTACACATGTCCAATAATCAGTTCATGTAAAAAGAATAAAATGAGAGTTTCAGAGTGCTGTTCTCTCATTGGCTGCTGACGTCATGTTTTAGTTCCCACTGGGCTCGGGAGGGACCAAGTACTTAAAAAGAAAAACTCGCCTGTGGTGCCTGAATGGAAACACCTCAAGCTCGGTAGATCTGCACGCAGAGTTTCAGTGCACGGGTGGATTGTTGTGAATTAGGCTTAAGAGACGACAGAAGAAAAGCGGACATACCAGGACTAACCCGGGACTAAACCTTGGACTAAAGCCACCGGGTCATGTATAAACCAAGAGCAACCTACACAGAATCGCCTGCCTTTATTTTGATAAATGAGGCAATTGAGTGTGAATGAATAGACTACTTTCTCTTACAAAGGAACAACATGACACAACAAGCACTCGGAGTACAATTTGAGCGTGAAATATTTTGATTTCCAGGGTGAACTCTTACTCACTGTAACTGTAAAAACTAAACAAACCAAGACTAAATAAAACATAACGTGTCTAAACGAAATCTAAACTTTTTTTTAATGCATTTCAGCCTACACATAAAAGAAATATGATGCATCTATGTCTATGGTGGAATGTTCAGCAGTTACCATGGTGTACACATAAGTGGATTGATAAGTTTTATGATGAAAACTCAAGAAAAAAGATATAATTGATTTAAACAACACATTTTCAGCAAAAAAGGTGATGGGGACGAACTGAAAATCTAAAGGTAAAGATAAAGGCGGAAACGTACAAAATGATCTTAAACGATTTTTAAAGGTGCAACAAAAAGCGCATACCATGGACACGAGGAGATTTTTTATGAGATTTTAAAACTCTGATCGCAAAGAGTTCTGCGGGATATAGCTACGGACCACAAGCTAAAGTTGTGAGCGCCCAAAAAGATCAGCACACCGCACTTCTAGTTTTGATGCAGAGCAAAACAGTGTTATTATAACATGTTATTATAATGTGGTGCAATACTTCAGATTCATGATTTTAATGCATATTCTCCACCAGCTTCTTAAATCTGCCCCATCACAAAATCTTCATCCGACAAGGTTGACAAAGGAAATATTCTGTCCGTGAAAAATGTATCCACAACTATCAAAGTACTGTATTTTGCACACTATAGGGCGCTCTGGATTATAAGGCATCATTGAATGGTCTATTTTTGAAGTTTTTTCACATATAAACCGCACCGGACTATAAGGCGCATTAAACAAAACAACAGTTGGGCGATTACGGCGTCCAGCGCTGCCCCCATCTCTCTCGTCATTATCCGAGTCAGTGTGGTTCCTGTTCCCTGGCAGTTCAGTGATGATTCCGGTCTTGGTGAAAGCTCGGACCACAGTTGATACTGATCCTTAGCCCGGGCGTCCACGATCCATTGGCAGATCGTGGCGTAAGTCGCTCGGCGCTGTCTCCCTGTCTTGGTGAATGTGTGTTTGCCTTCTCTCGCACTTTCACTTTAACTTGGACTTTTTAGCCTTCAGTTTAAAGTGGGCATTGTAAGCGTGTCTCTTGACAGATGCATTTTGATATTAAAAGGAATCACAGTATGTATTACTCCACGACGCTCCTGACTACTGGAGCCGTAATGCTGCAAGTGGTGCGGCTTTGTAGTTTACTAAAGTCGTACTAAGACACCCCAATAAATTCATATATAAGGCGCTCTGGATTATAAGGCGAGCAGTTGTTTTTTGATTAAATTAAAGGCTTTTAAGTGTGCCCTATATTGCGGAAAATACGGTAAGAAAGATGAAAACTTAAAGGCGAACAACGACGAGCATTAGTGAACTACTCCTGAGCAAAACTAACATTATGGTCATGAATAAAACATAAGTAACTTGTTCACTCAGACTGATTCTACTATTAAAATTAAAAATCAATTTCATGATGTAGATATTGGCATAGACAGAAAGAATTATGCAGTTTAAATACGAGATATGTAATCTGTGAACATCTGTAGCATTTGAACTGCACAAATCTCTCTGTCTATTGCAATATCTACATCATGAAACAGATTTTTAATTTTAATTCTCAAATCATTCTGAGTTAACAAGTTACTTATGTTTTATTCATGATCATAACATTAGTTTTGCTCAGGAGTAGTTCACTTATCCTGGTCATTGTTCGCCTTTAAGTTTTCATCTTTCTTATCTTGATAGTTGTGGGTAAATTCTTCATGAACAGAACAGAATTTGTCCTTTATCGACCTTGTTGGTTGAAGATTTGGTGATGAGGCAGATTTTGAAGCTGTTGGAAAATACGCGAGATATTTTTCCACAGATATTTTGCCAGAGAAAAAAAAGCATTAACCAGGAGTGACATTTACTCTACATCACGGCACTTCCGGCCGTTGTGAAAAAGATGTATTTACCCGGAACAGTCCCAGTTTTGAGGCCTGTGTCCCCAGATTAATCCAAAACCGGTGACTTGTCCCAGTTTTAAACAAGAAATGCCCCTATTTTTGACCAATCTGATCCCTGCCAACAGTAAAAAAGAGGCATAAACTGTCATTTGTTTAGGTAAAATACAGAAAAGCTGCTTAAAAATGACCAAAACACAAAGAAACTGTGACTATACTGACTCACATTAGTGCTGAGTGCATACAATTTTTCCTTAATTACGCACTCGTTTCACAATTTTATTATTACAAAGCAACCCAAACCAAATGTCCCAGTTTTTTATTTTGAAAATCTGCTCACCCTAGTAACAGAGCTATTGACGGAGGAGTGCCTCTAGATAGCATCACCCCCCCAGGGAATATTGACGACACCCGCTGAGATATTGTGTTGAGTTACCATGGCGCTGATGATCCTGCTGACGTAGATGGGGTTACAGCGAGCCGAGACGTCATCCGCCGGGTCTTTGAGGTGTTTGTGGCTCAGGTCCAAGAGCATCAGGCAGATCTGCACCATCTTCTCCTCGAACTACAAAACAATATAACACATGTCGAAATGAGCATGAGCGTGCGGGGCCAATTGATCACTGATTTTCCAAAATAAGGTGAGTCATCTGCACTGAACCCGACCTTCAGAGTCACTGGGAAACTCGCCAGAAACAGAGCGTGTGTGGGAAATTCTCCACTGAGCTGCAAAACTCAACATAACGAATGTCTTCATATTTAAAAGACCTGTTTTACACTATTTTCTAATCTTTGTTATAATGTTTTTCTAAGGGTGGGTATCATTAAGAAGTTGCCAATACGATACATACCTCAATACAGTGAGATTTCGGTTCGGTACGATTCAATACGATATATATTTCAAATTGATCTGACACGGTTCAATAAAAAATAAAGGCTGTGATACTAAAAACTCAAAACTGCACATAGGGAATGTGCAATTAAAACTGCACATAGACTTAGGGAATGTGCAATAATTAATAGAATACAAGACTGCAAAGGGCTTGCCTGTTAAGAATAATTTAAAGGTCCTGTTGGTGCATCACTCGTGGTCATACTTGGTCTCATATTTATTTTGTTCTATGGTGTTTGTTTATGTGGTGCTTTGTGTTGTGTTGTCCTGTTTTTTGATAAAGCATGTTACCCCCTGTCCCAAGACAAATTTCTCCCATGGGAGACAATAAAGGATTATCTTATCTTATCTTAAAAGTCTTTGTTTAACCACGTTTTGTGCGAAATTAAAATGAAACACGCCAAAATGTACTCATCAAAACAAAAACAAAAATGTCAAATATGTCATATAAACAAGTTTCTCTCCTCTAAACAAGCAACAAAACTGTAGCGCTATGACAAAAGAATTTAGTAAACTATACCAAAAAATACTCTTGGTGATATATCGATACAGGAGCCCACAATATCGATACTGTATCATCACATTTAACGATACAATATATCGATATTTCAGTATTTTTGCACACCCCTAGTTGTGTCCTCATCATAAACAAGTCTGGAGTTGTGTTTTGTTTCATTCACACATGTTTAACTCACAAACCTTGATTTTTACCTGGTCCCCGAAGGGTTGACCAGGTTTTGTGTTCACCCCTTGTGTCTGTGTGTCTGTCCACCCGTGATAATTCCGCCATTTATGGACCGACTTGTCACCAAATTTGGTACGCGGGTCAAGCCCCCATGCCCAGTGCCGCAAAAAAAAAAGTTTGGTGATGATCCGAGGTCACCAAACTTTAAGGGGTCAGTTCATCACCACAGAAGCAGCTTATGAGGAGTTCAGTCCATATTACATGATCGTTATATCCACAATGTAATGTGTGTATCTGTACAGGCCCATGAACATTTGTGTGATATTGTTCACACATGAGAATGTCTGTGTTTACTAGTGTGTAACCAAAATGTTATTGTTCATGAGTTGTGTATATGTGAGTTGTGTGACTGTAGATCAGTGAGTTGTGTATCACCAGAAAAAAAAGAAATGGAAATTATTTTCGTTCCAATTAGAATTTTAACGGCATAAACTGAAAGAGAAAGGAACTGTTATAATTAGTGATTATCTCGAAAACTATTAATATTTTACGATACAAATGCATAGAATTATAAATAGATAATAATTTTTCTGAGATTTTTGAGACCACTCCTTTTGCTCGAGCTCGATCCTTCACGAAGTTATGACCAAAAACACATATTTGACCTTGACCAGTTTCAACCTGTAACATCCAGTGTACCCCGGTTATGTGTGTGCCAACTTGTGTGACGATTGGGTGAATGTTTTAGCCGCAGATGGTTCAGAAATTGCGGAAATTGGCGATCCTTTATAACGGCGTGACCTTTTAATTGACCCATGTGACCTCAAATGACCTCGGATCGTCACCAAACTTTTTTTTTTTGCGGCATCGGGCACGGGGGCTTGACCCACGTACCAAATTTGGTGACAATCGGTTCATAAATGGCGGAATTATCACGGGTGGACAGACACACAGACACAGGGTGAACACAAAACCTGGTCAACTCTTCGGGGACCAGGTAAAAATGGTTGACAGCACCTTTTATTTAGTTCTTCTCTCTCATTTAATGTCTCTTTTTAATTTCATGATGATTATTTATGTTTTGATTTGTTTGTATTGCGAGTTTAATGTAGTTCTTATTCTGTAAAGCACTTTGAATGACTTTGTGTATGAATTGTGCTGTACAAATAAACTTGCCTTGCCTTGTCTGGCCTTAAATCAACGTTTAATCCAACAGAAAAACATGTTCCTTGTGCGTCGGCCTTGTGTGATTTGTGACATATGAAGAGGGCTTTAGAATTCACTGCTACTTCTTGTATTTTTCATCTTTTTGTTTTATACTTTTCATCACAAACCGCCACTTAACTTACATAAAACTCAAAAATACATTAATCTGTCAAATGGACTTTATTCAGATCGACTGGGAAACAAGCCAGGACCAGAGCGTGTGTGACAAATTCTTCACTTAACTGCAAAACCCAACCAAAACCACGAAGATAAAATCAGGACTAAACCGGGATTTAAAACCTGTATCTGATTTTTTTATTTTTTTCTCATGTACCTGAGAAAAAAATTGGTCCTTCCTCCAGTACAGATATATCGTAAAAGCAGCTCTTAAAGTCCAAATAAGTCCAAATGTTTCAAATTATAAAGTGTTTCACTGTCCGATAATCAGGAAGTGTGTGTTAGCATGTTGATGAAAGTTCTGGGATTCTGTTTTTGACAATTTAAAACAACATTTGGTAATTTTAAGGGATTTGAATTAGAATTCAACCAGAAGTTAATCAAAGCTGAACCAGGGCTAAACTAGGATTAAACGAGGACTAAGACCAGGGCTAAACCAGGACTAAACCAGGACTAAATCAGCACTAAACCAGGGACAATATCAGGGCTAAACCAGGACTAAACCAGAGCTAAATCAGCACTAAACCAGGGACAATATCAGGGCTAAACCAGGACTAAACAAGAGCTAAATCAGGACTAAACCAAGGACAATACCAGGACTAAACCAGGACTAAACCAGGGGCTAAACCAGGGGCTAAACCAGGACTAAACCAGGACTAAACCAGGGGCTAAACCAGGGGCTAAACCAGGACTAAACCAGGACTAAACCAAGGACAATACCAGGACTAAACCAGGAATAAACCAGGATTAACCCAGGGCCAATACTAGGACAAAACCAGGACTAAATCAAGAACAATACCAGGACTAAACCATTGATAAAACCTGAACTAAACCAGGACTAAACCAGAACTAAACCAAGGACAATACCAGGACTAAACCAGGAATAAACCAGGATTAACCCAGGGCCAATACTAGGACAAAACCAGGACTAAATCAAGAACAATACCAGGACTAAACCATTGATAAAACCTGAACTAAACCAGGACTAAACCAGAACTAAACCAAGGACAATACCAGGACTAAACCAGGACTAAACCAAGGCTAAACCAAGGCTAAACCAGGACTAAACCAGGGACAATACTAGGACTAAACCAGGGCTAAACCAGGTCTAAATCAAGAACAATACCAGGACTAAACCAGGACTAAATAAAGAACAATACCAGGACTAAACTAAGACTAAATCAGAACCAGGTTTATAAGAGAACTAAACCGGAACAGCCCCAGGCCTTAATCTACATTATACCAACTTGCTTTCAAATTCCTGTTATTATAGATGACATTTTCGGGACATTTATCCACTCAGAAGTTATACTAATTTTTTAGTTTTCTGAATTGTTAATCGCTATGGCAACAGTGCAGATTGGTCCATACCTGTGCGAAGTCCCAGGCCATGGAGGTGATGTAGTTCCCGGTCCCTTTGTAAATGATCCCGTGTGTGTTCATCACGTACTCCTGACGGTCGGCCTCCTCTGGCATGTACACCCAGTCAGCTGAAAAAAAAATAAATAAAAATACAATAAAATAAATAAATTCATACAGGAATACATAAAAATAATATCTGAAGAATTACAAAAATGTACTTGTGATGGTTGAAGTGCACAACAACACTATGCTTTTTGTTGGTATCTAAACCAGAAATAAAAATGTGTGTTTTCGGTCCTTGGTATTATCATGACATACTGTTGTTGTGTCCTTGGGCAAGACACTGCTGGTGTTTGGCCCTGATTATTAATGCTAAGTCGGTATTAAAAGTGCAGTGTAACTAATGTTCCATCTGAATGCAGAAAGTTCAAATGTTTACACCTCATATAATGAAAATTTAACTTCAAAATAAATCAATTGCCATGTTGTTGTAAAGGTCCCATATTACGCTATTTTCTGATTTATGTTATAATGTTGTTTCCATACGACGGAGGCTGACGGGGGTCAAATGCACTGCGACGGCCCAATGCGTCTCCGTTAGAGAAAACAGAAACGCAAATTCACAACCTCAAACACAAGTTTAGACGAGGTACAAACAAAGAACATGGTGCAAATTAAAATAAACGAGCTGCAAGAAACAAAGACAAACGTATCATCATCGAATGTGCTGCAAACAGAGAAACGACGCAAAGCACAAAACGATGAAAACCAAGAAAACACTGAAAACCTAAAAAACGCTGCATAGAGTTAGTGATGTTGAGATGAAGCCCCATGAAGCACTGAAGCGTTCCAGCCATTTGCTCGACTCTTGAGCCGACGCGTCAAGGTGCTTCATTTGCTCCACTGCGCCATCAAGAGGCCAAAAAATATAATAACAGGCAGAGTGATAATAGAACAACCAACATGATCATCGAGGTTCTGATGGAAAGATTTATACTGAATAAATGAACGATTAAATATATGAATGTTTGTGATTTCAACATAAAGTGTGAATGTATTAACCTGGAGTCTGTGTTCATGATATAAAGGTCGGGTTAAAAGAAAAAGTAGGAACAAATTGGAGATCAGGATGAAATGTGCTTATGCCACAATAAGCACGGCAAAATAGGGTCATTTTATTCATTTTTATTTAAAAATATCAATTTCTCCACCGTATTTGGACTCAGACAGTTTCGGTTTCTCGGTTTTGGGGGAATCCGTTGCGTTTCACTGGCCCTAATGTTTCGAAACGCGCCAAATCCCCGAACCACTTCCCGAAGCAGTCACGTGGTAGAGCCGGACAGCGAGGCTTCGGACGTCATCATTTTTGGCTCCTCCCCCAAATGAAGCGAGCCTCGACACGCGCTTCATGGAAACACCTCCTTCATTACTCGACGCAGTCTTCGAAGCCTCGGCACATCTCGTAACATCACTACATAGAGTGACTACAACGGAATTGCTCCAAACCTGCAGGGGGCGCTCTCAGTGTTAGAGCTCAATGGAGAGACACACTGGATGGAGAGAGAGAAAGGCTCAAACTGATAAACTATAAACTAGAGAGTGTGAAATACACTAAAATAAACGGCACGTGATGTACGGCGTTGTACAGCGATATTTATAGGTCTGGAGCACTTCTGTTGACTTTTTATGCAGCGTTTTTCATTTGCAGGTGCTTTGTTTCTCTATTTGTAGCGCATTTGATGATGACACATTTGTCTTTGTTTCTCTCATCATGTTTTTTCATTTGCACCACGTTCTTTGTTTGTACCTCCTTTAAACTTGTGTTTGAGTTTGTGAATTTGCGTCATTTCTGTATTTTTAAATTGTTTTCTCTGACGCACTGGGCCTCTGTGTTTTATTTCATTCACACGCATTTAAATAAAAAAAAAAATGTTTATAATGATTGATTAAAAAAAAAAAAAATTTAAATTGCATTAAAATAAAACACTTCGTTAATTATCTATCTACATGGTTTTATATTTTTCATGTTTTAGATCAACAGAGAGAGAACATGCACTAAACAGTGGCCTCATATCGTCCAGGAATCAAACCTAGGACCTTCTGTTTGTGGGGCAGGACTTACTTGGGCACCAGGGGTTGAAGAGCACCACCAGAGACCCCAGCTCCTTCTGCTCTCCTGCCTCATCCAGAAACAGTAGGTATTTTCCCACTGGAGCGTTCGCCGGGGGAGTGACGGTTAGATGTAGGTTTCCCATTTCCAGATAGGACATTCTGGTATCCATGACGACGCTCCAGATGGCTTTAGCTTTAGCCGAGCGATTCACCAAATCTGGGAGCCCAAACACGCACTTGGTTCCTATGTCCTCTCCTGGATACAGCCCTGAGAGTAAAAAAAACATAAAAAATACTCATAATCACATTTCAATTAGTGCTGTCATGCGATTAAAAAAATTGAGAGATTAATTAATTATGATCTGTAATTAATTAATCTAATTAATCTCATTTTAATCTCACCTAAAAATTGCTGAGAAAAGCCTTCAATTTGAGGTATTTTCATTTAAATTCATTATTACATTATTGTGGCAGATCAAAAGACTGATATAGATTTTAAAAAGTGACTTTATAAAGTCATTTATTGTTTAACAAATCTCTCCAAATTGGCTGTTGAGCCCAAGTCTCCATGAATAAGAAACTGTTTGCTGTAAAGTAGCAAAGACGAGGAAATCTGAACATAATAACTTTTGTCTACTTAAAGACAATAAAAAGTCCAGTCTTTCCTTAACCATATTAAAAATATTATTGATAGAGAAATGCTTTATATATGAGATCACTGGTTTTAGTCCTTGTTTTAGTCCTGGTTTAGACCTGCTTTAGTCCTACTTTAGTCCTAGTTTAGTCCTGGAATGGATTAATCCTGGTTTTAGTCCTGGTGTTAGTTCTGGTTTAGTCCTGGTTTAGTCCTGGTTTTAGTTCTGGTTTAGTCCTGGTTTAGTCCTGGTTTAGACCTGGTTTAGTCCTGGTTTAGTCCTGGACTGAATTAGTCCTGGTTTTAGTCTTGGTGTTAGTTCTGGTTGAATACGTGACTTTTTCTTCTTAAAATGCCTTGACAAGACTTAACCCAAAGAACTAAGATTTTAAAGTGCTTATAAAAGTTTTTTTCTTCATGTAATCTGTGCATAAATCTATAATAAAATCTGAAGGTGAACCGTAAATCTGAAGGTGAACTGGAAATCTGAAGGTGAAACGTATTATTTTCAGTGGTCTGTGCTCATTGGCGCACAGGCCCAAAAGTAATTTTCTCTTCCACATTTACTTCCTCAATACGTGCGAGCTCCTCCCATCCGTGTGACGTCTGTAAAATACACGGTGAGGAGTGTTTGGACCAATCAGATCGAGAGTATAGGGTATTTCTGATTGTAGTCATCTTGAGTTGGCGTAGTGGAAACTCACTGTTAGACAGATTCATCAGCTGTTTTCACTTCGTAGAAACCGTTTGACCTCGCAGCGTTAGGATTCATTCGCTCAATGGTAGGCGGGCACTTTTTTATTTAACCAATCGCTGCTATTTGGTCGTGACATATGTAATGCGCCGTTAACGGGGCTAACTGGTATATTAAGCTTTTCCCAAATCCCGTAGGAAGAAGGACAATCACGTCTTTCCCCTTGATGAAATTCACCAAACATTTTCTTTGTACCGGCTTTAAATCCTCGATCTCGGGAATCGTTGCCAACACAGAATGTATGGCTCTTCGCTGACTGACCAGTGCACAGTCTACAGCTTCCGAGGTTCTTACAAACTGTCTAGTGTATTCCAAATCCCGACCTAGTCGCTGAAGAGAAATGGAAGTGAGTAGAGTCACTAGGTGGCGCCAGCCTGGCTATAGTGAAAAAATCCCTCCGGCCCAAAAAGGAATTTTCTCCTAGAGCGCAATGTAATCACAAACCACTCGTGTTCAGCTGACAGGGCACCTACAGTTTTCAAAAGAGTTGGATTTTGGGGCAATTTTTACCTATTTTCAGATCATAAACTCTTTCTCAGCTCAAAATCCGTCTTAAAAAATGCTTTCTAAACATTAGCTCCGGCTCTGCTCTAGCTCCTCTCGCTCTGATTGGTCAAACTGATCACGTGATGTACGAGCCTGTACTCCTTGTGCACACTCATCTGCATTCGCATGTGCCCAAGTCTAGGCTAATCTAGAGACATTTGTCTTTGAGCTCGACTGATTGTCTTGACCTTGCGGCCATGCTTAGACCCCGGGGCTTGGCTTGTGCGGGCTCAGAGCGGGGCTAGGTTAAATCTTACAAAGCAAACTTTTAGGCTCTTTGAGGATTTACAATTTTTAAAAGAAGTTTATGTTGTGAAAATAGAAAAAAATCCCTACAAAATCCGACCTTTGTTAAAGTTGTGGATGCCCTGTCAACGAAACACGGGCAGTTTGAATTCCCCAAATAGTCCCGGGAGCTGCAGTACCTGGAGCGGCCACTAGTCAGAGGGGGAATGTTGTATCCAGCTTTTATTATAGATCCATGAATCTGCACTGAAATGGAGCAAAGGATCATGGTCTCTGTAGTTCCCTTTGCTTTTTTAGCTGCATCACAACAATTTAAGCTGAAAGACTTTTAATTCGATATATTGTGATGGTCCACGATATTATTTTGATATTTTGGTTATTGTTACATCCCTGATTCACACAGGAAAGTGCCTTGCCCAAGGACACAGTGGCAGCAAGCAAAACAGTTAGTGGGAAGTAAAAACAGGTCCAACATGACGAGATTAAACCAGGATTAAATTGGAATGAAACTGGAGTAAACAAGCTGTAATGTTTTTTTTTTATTTCAAAAGGCACACAGGCCTGTGTAACTGTTGTATTGTTTTTGTTGTAATTTGAAACTGACTGTAGCACTTTGAGATTTGTTTCTCAAATCTAAAGAGCCGGACCAGGTCTAAACCAAGATTAAGTCAGACCTAAAGCAGGATTTAATGAGGACTAACCCAGGTCAAACGCAGGAATAAACCAGGTCTACAGACTGTCTAAACTTAGTCATTAGGGCTACAGGACTCGAGTCAAATTAGGTACTAAACCAGGTCTAAGACAGGTCTCAAGCCAGGTCTAACTCAGGTCTCAACCAGGTCTCAACCAGGTCTAACTCAGGTCTAAAACAGTACTAAGACAGGTCTAAGACAGGTCTAAACCAGGTCTAAGTCAGGTCTAAGACAGGTCTAAACCAGGTCTAAGTCAGGTCTAAGGCAGGTCTAAAACAGTACTAAGACAGGTCTAAGACAGGTCTAAACCAGGTCTAAGTCAGGTCTAAGACAGGTCTCAAGCCAGGTCTAACTCAGGTCTCAACCAGGTCTAAGTCAGGTCTAAGACAGGTATAAAACAGGATTAAGACAGGACTAAGACAGTTTTAAGACAGGACTAAAACAGAACTTAGTCAGGTCTCAAACAGGTCTAACTCAGGTCTAAGACAGGTCTAAAACCGTACTAAGACAGGTCTAAACCAGGTCTATGTCAGGTCTAAAACAGTACTAAGACAGGTCTAAGTCAGGTCTATGTCAGGTCTAAAACAGTACTAAGACAGGTCTAAGTCAGGTCTAAACCAGGTTTAAACCAGGTCTAACCCAAGCAGAGGGCAGGTCTTCACCAAGTCTAACTCAGGACTACATCAATAATCACGAATCTAAATCAGATCTAAGACAGGACCAAAACAAGTCTTACCCACAAAATCCCACTTAACTAAGTACAAAGAATGACCACAGAACTAACCCAGGTCTGAACCAGGTCTACACCAGGTCTAACTCAGGACTAAATTAGGAGTAAATCAAGACTAAACCATTTCTAAATCAGGTCTTCACCAGGTCTGGCCAAGGACTAAGTCAGATCTAAACCAGTTCTACACCAGGTCTACACCAGGACTAATCAGATCTAATAGTCCAATGAGATTCATTTGGTCTTCCAATATTCTATGTTATTAGGTTCTTTTTTTCAGACCCAGAGTGTTATTTCATACCTGACAGTTTCGACTGCTCACTAGCGTCTTCCTCAGAGTCACGTGATGTTGCTGTGACGTGTCTGGTCAGCTGATTTAAACAGGTTTTGGCGCTGTCTTCCTACCGGTGGAGGCAGGACGACAGCGCCACCTGCAGTCCGACTTCCTCAGGACAGCATCCCAGGTGTGTGAGAGTAAAAAAGCAACTCAAATCGGCCATTTCTGACCATTGCAAAAGAGAGAACCACGTTATGGATTGGGATGGAGCAAACATCATTGGGACAGAGGAAAACAAACATCGCCGCTGGATTAAAGAAGCAATCGAAATACGGAAACGTGCCCACAGGACTGTAAACCGGGACGAGGGGGCTTTTTTACTCTCACACACCTGGGATGCTGTCCTGAGGAAGTGGGACTGCAGGTGGCGCTGTCGTCCTGCCTCCACCGGTAGGAAGACAGCGCCAAAACCTGTTTAAATCAGCTGACCAGACACGTCACAGCAACATCACTTGACTACTCTGAGGAAGACGCTAGTGAGCAGTCGAAACTGTCAGGTATGAAATAACACTCTAGGTCTGAGAAAAAGAACCTAATAACATAATCAGATCTAAGTCAGGTCTTCACCAGGTCTCTTCTGGGTCCTTACCCGTGGTGACAGTGAAGATGAGCTTGTGTAGGCCGCTGATGAACGGGTGGTTGAACTGGATGTGCATGCTGAAGCTCTGTCCTCTCCTCACGATGAGCAGGTGTTTGGACAGCGCCCCCGTGTGGTGCAGCGGGTTGTTCTGCGCCGGCTTGAAGTCCACCCCCAGGACTGAAACAACACAACACAACATTTTGAACATTTTGAACACAGAGAAACACACAACAAAAGTGAATAAAAGTTGGTGAATTTTACAACAGTTTAAAGTACTAAACCTCGAACACGTGCTGCTTGTTTTTAGCTTGGTGCTGTCTTAAAGTGACCAGATTTTCATAATTCTAATCTGGGACACACTCGGGTTGGGAAGTTTGGTAAAATTGTGAAAAGAGCGTGTAACATTGTGTATTCTCGTGTCAGTCATAATCTGAGGGACTTTTTATCACTGCATTTTTATTTATTTATTTTTTTTTTTTTATGGTCATTGCAAACACAGATTTCTGCAAATGCAAATTTATGCTCCTCTTTACAGTTAGTGGAAATCTGATTAGTGAAAAATTGTGACAGTCCTGTTTTAGTCCTGGTTTAAACCTGATGCTGTCCTCGTTTAGTCTTAGTTTAGTCCTGGTTTATGCTTAGTTTAGTCCTGTTTTAATGTTAGTTTAGACCCGGTTTAGTCTTCATTTAGTCCTGGTTTTGACCCGATGTAGTTCTGGTTTTATCTTTGTTTAGTAGTTTAGTTCTGTTTTAGTCCTGGTTTAAACCTGATGAAGTCCTGCTTTAGTCTTAGTTTAGTCCTGCTTTAGACCCGATGCTGTCCTCGTTTAGTCTTAGTTTAGTCCTGGTTTCAACCTGATGTAGTCCTGCCTTAGTTTAGTCCTGGTTTATGCTTAGTTTAGACTTAGTTTAGTCCTGTTTTAGACCTGATGTAGTCCTGGTTTAGTCTTAATTTAGTCCTGTTTTAATCTTAGTTTAGATCCGGTTTAGTCTTCGTTTAGTCCTGGTTTCGACCCGATGTAGTCCTGGTTTTATTTTTGTTTAGTAGTTTAGTTCTGTTTTAATCCTGGTTTAAACCTGATGAAGTCCTGCTTTAGTCTTAGTTTAGTCCTGGTTTAGTCTTAGTTGATAGTTGGTTATTATCTTAGTCTGCTTTAGTTTAGTCTTAGTAGTCCTGGTTTAGTCCTGGTTTCATGTTGTTTAGTAAGTTTAGTCCTGGTTTAGTCTTTAGTCTGTTGGTTTATGTTCTTCTGGTTTAGTTCTGTTTTAGTCTGGTTTAAACCTGGAATCCTGCTTTAGTCTTAGTTTAGTCCTGGTTTAGTCCTGGTTTCAACCTGATTAGCCCTGTCTTAGTTTAGTCCTGGTTTATTAGTTTAGTCTTAATTTAGTCCTGTTTTAATCTTAGTTTAGACCCGGTTTAGTCTTCGTTTAGTCCTGGTTTCGACCCGATGTAGTCCTGGTTTTATTTTTGTTTAGTAGTTTAGTTCTGTTTTAATCCTGGTTTAAACCTGATGAAGTCCTGCTTTAGTCTTAGTTTAGTCCTGGTTTAGTCCTGGTTTGGATCAAATTGGTCAAAAATAGGGACACTTGGAATATTTCTTGTATAAAACTGGGACAAATCACTGGTTTTGTATAAATCTGCTCGGACAGGGGACACAGGGCTCAAACCTGGGACTGTCTCCGGTAAATAGGGATGATGTCTAGTCGCCCTAGTCTAGCTACATAATCAGGTGCAGGGGAAAATCGGTTATTAAAAGGAAAGAAGTTTAGGAACAGGGTTATAAATTATGGTTAAGGTTAGGATTGTGAAATGGTGATGTTAGGGTTTGGTTAAAAGTCAGTTTCATCCCTCTAGGCCAATGTGACATATCAGCACATCATTTCATCAGAACATCAACCCACACGTTCAGATGATATTTCCTCAACGCCGTGGGGATTAACTGTTCATGAGACTTCATCAGAAAACATGACACACATCCATTAAGTGTGACTGCCCAGTGACACAACGTCAAAGTTCGTCTGTGGGAGCTGGAATGGCACCGCTAAACTGTCACTCTGTCTACTGTGGACATAAATCACTCCCAGATGACTACAGCTGGAACTTTCTCCACATTCACGCTTGGATTAATTGAGGGATTACGCCGTGTCACACTACAGCGTCACAAGAGTTTTGAATAATCGAAAAATTTGGTATTCATCGCCTTAAAATCTTCATTGGTTTATACGAACATTTTATGCCCAAAGTGACGAGGCTGCAGCAGATACAGACTATTTTTAATTTCACAAAAGCAAAGTCTGTCATCAAAGCCTCAGAGAAATTAACATCAGCAATCACCTGTGTAGATAAGTGGCCAACTAAGTCAAGTCTCGTACAGAACACCAAAGCAGGCGATTTTCCAAACGTCCAACAAAGTCTTGTGTAAATGTGTTTCTGAGGGGAGAGGGGCTCTGGTTTGTAAATGAATTCAAGTATCTTGGTGTTACCTTGGACTCCACTATATGTATGTAAAAACATATAAAAAATTCTTAAAATTAGATCATCATTGTCAGAAAATGCAGCTAAAATGTTTCTCCACGGCGTGATTTTTTTCTCACATTGAATACTGCGTCACTGACAAACAAAATATTTTCACAGGGAGTCTTTATCTTTTCATCACTGTCTCATACTTCAGAAATATAATATCTTAAATTTTGGAAATTTTAGAACATTTAAAGTCGCCTGCTCAGTATATAAGGTCTCAAATGGACTCGCTCCACCTCCTTTGGGTGAGCTCTCTATTCTCAAATCCAGCACTAGTGGTCGAGTAACAAGAGCGTCTATAACACCTTATAAACACACAATATTCAGTCAGCAGGTGTTATCAGTCAGGGCACAGAAATTTGGAACAACATCCAGCTGCAATAAGAGACTCAATCTGAAACGATGGTTTAAGCCTTAAGAGAAACCAGGGTAATGTTCCGCTTCTATGTAGATGTCAGTGTTGTATGTCGTGATTGTGTCGTATTGTGCTGTTTCTATCATGTTTGTTCTATGAATTGTCATTGACAGTTTGTTTATTGTGTGACGTTGTCTTATGTTGTCTCTATCCAGAGGTGGGGATTTGCACGTTGTGACTTGGACTCGAGTCAGACTTGAGTCACTATTTTTAGGACTTGAGACTTGACTTGATAAAATGGAGTAAGACTTGGGACTCGACTGGGACTTGAAGGTCAGTGACTTGAGAAGCACTTTAAAATCTGAATTCTTTCTATTCTGACTGTAATGATTCACACTAAGATCTTGTCAAGACATTTAAAAAGGAAACATTTATATTTCTACAACTCTTATATACTTTATAAATAATCATATTAAAATGTAGTATGATTTTTTAAGTATTATTTATCTTAAAATTCATTTAAATTGCAAAAATCTAAGATATATTTGGTATTTTGGTTTAAAGACTTGAAATGACTTGAAGATCAAAGCAGACGACTTGGACTTGACTTGGACTTATGGACCAGTGACTCAACTTGGACTTGCCTGTATTTGACTTGGGACTTGACTCGGACTTGAGGTTAAAGACTTGAGACTTACTAGACCAGGGGACTACAGATGAAAAGCTTTCGGGTTAATTCCGGTGTATTTACAAGTGCATGTTCATGAATATGCACTGACTAAAACACTAAAAAAAACCAACTATAAAATAATTTGGAGTCGATGGAGCTGGAACACGACCTATTTTGAACTCGGGTTAGTTGTGTCCTTTTATAGAAACTTCTATATCAACACAGTCTGAGGGCTAACCCAGATTAGCGTGTGCAGATGAGCGAGATGGACACACCTCATAAACTGGCCCTGCGACTTCTCCAGGTATGCTCTGCTCTATATTGTACAAACTCATCCAGTCGGAGAGACTTAAGGTTTATGCTTAATGACAGCGTTACAAAGCTGTCAGGAGCAGGCGACAATCTGTCATTAAAACTAATGAAGTTTACGAACAGGGTTATAAATGATGATGAAGGTTAGGATTGTAAAACGGTGAAGGTTTGGGTTTGGTTAGGGTTAGGAACGGGGTTAAAAGTCAACTCGGTCCCTCTACGCCCGATTGACATATCAGCCTACATCATATATATCTCCTCAACTCATCAGAACATACAGGTAACAGTTCCTTAATCAGATAACATGACACAGATCCATTATCTGTGACCGTCTTGCCCAATGACGAAGAATGTGAAGAATGTGAAGAATTGCAGTGTCATCCAAAACTTGATTTCAATAGAGCTGTGCAGATTATGCAGTTTTTTAATCAAACTGTTTGCACAATTTTGTCATCAAAGATCAATTTGAGTCTTTTAAATGGAGAAATCTACAGACAATCCTGTGTCAGTAAAAACACATGGTTTGGAGCAGAGTTAAGAGGATGAAATTGGAAAATTCTTTTGTGTTACTTGTTTAAAGGCACAAAATAGTCCTCTTTGTCCAAATATTTTCTTTCAAAATGACGAATTCAATATCTTGGTTTTATAGGATCTTTATCTCTATATCCCTTAGCGTTAGGGTGAGAAGCTCAGTGAGGCAGGAGGAGCTCGCTTCTCCTCCACATGGAGAGGAACAGCTGAGTCTATTCTGATGGATCCTGGACCTCTCCGTGAGGAGGTGTTCGGACGCCCAGGGGAAGACCCAGGACACACTGGAGGGATTACGTCTCTGGGCTGGACTGGGAACATCCCCCTGGAAGAGCTGGAGGAAGTGTCTGGGGTAATCTGGGCCTCACTGCTCAGACTTCTGTCTCTAGGACTTTTCCCTGGATAAATTTAAGAAAATGGACGGATGGTTTTATGGCCTAACGTAGCGTCTGACCGCAGCTTTGTAGACTTTCTGTCACTCTTAAAACTTTGTTAGGGTCAAAAAACTGCAATACAGAAAAAAATAAAACAAATAAAAAATGTTGTTACACCTAGAACCAGAACACTAGACTCAGAAGTGACATCAGAGGCCCTAAGAAACTCAACACACTTTACTTTACGTCATACTCCCTACCCTGAGGCTGACTGATGGTAATGTGGCTGCCAATCTGCAAACAATGGCCTCTCACTGAACTCACTTATGTGCCAATGAATGTGAATGTGAATTCTTACTGTGAGCTGGTGGCGCCTCTCCACAGATCTGACAAGCCTGACTAACTTTGCCACTATGG